GCTTGAGACAGTGTAGAGGTCCTTGCAGTCTCTTTTGGTTCTCCAGTCACATTCATTCTGTCTTATGGATGTGTTTACACGGTACTTCGACTCATGTTTTCATGGGTGTGGGTACTTAGCCAACAGGGCCTTTCTGAATTTAGCTAGGTAGGTCCTCAGTTAACACACAGTTCATCATCTTTCCAACATGATAGGACCTTGTCAGTGGTGAAGATCTAGGTATAGTCTTTGAGATTCCAGGCTTTCCTCTATTGAAGAGGAGAAATGATAGGTGCCTTCAAGTATTTAAAAGACTATAATATGAAAGAGGAATTACATTTATTTTTCTTGAAGTTGTGAAACACATTTAGGCTTGGTGAAAGGAAGAACTTCCTCATGCTGAGTTAACCTAAAGCAGATTGTACTGACTTTTTCTTCTCAGGGGAGGTTTTCAAGTACAGGCTGGGCCTGCCATTTGCCAGGTATACACTAAAGGGGATTCTTATTCAGGTAAGACATGTTGTACTAGATGGCCGCTTAAGTCACTTCCAATTCTGAGATTCAGGGGTACTGTGCTGAAGCAGAAACAGCACAATTTCATTGTCAAACAGAAACCCTTCAGAGTTCAGGCCCCAAATGGAGATGAAATTCCATACTGATCAAGACAACCTGCGAATTCTAGTATCTTTAAAAAATACAAAGGGATCTCTGATGTGGTTTCATTTTCCATTTTGGTTCTTGAATGAGAACAACAATAATGAACAAGGGCAGTAACAACACAGGCTCCCCATCAGACTTGGGGAGAGCCTGCCAGAGTTTACAGGATTCTTGTGTGGCAGACTGAATAGGACACAGGAGCAGCCCTATGGCTGTCTCCATCCTGCTCCAGCCTGGTCAGGATAATTACGATAACCATGTTGATGCCCCAGCTTCTGCAAGGCCCTAACAAAAAACACCATTACAGCTCCTCTGTGTGTGTGTGTGTGTGTTTATGTGCGCGCGAGCGTGCATGGGGGGGGCAGGGATTGATTACATTGGTCCTCTGCTACTAGTTGGGGTCTTTTTCTCAGAATAGTGGTGGCCCCAGCCAGAACATGCCTGTTTAGGTGAACTTCCATCCCCAGTTAACTTCCTCATTTCAGTTGCTAGATTCTAAGCTGCCCTAGCCTCACCTCCAGGATTCACATGATGATACTCCCCTGGACTGTGTCCAGGCTTATGCCACCCCAACCCTCCCAACACAGGCTTTAACTCATTTTAAAGAAAACTTTCCCCATTCACACTGACCCCACCATTTCCTTCCAGCAGAAGGCTGGCTCTGATGCTCTGGAAAGGACTTGGACATCCGTGGAAATGGACATCTAGGGACCCAATCTTGAGAGGGTCAATTCCTGACCGCTAGAAACCAAAGGAATTGACAGGAATATTGACCTACATCTGGAAGGGACCTCATAAATTACCTACTCCCTCCTCTTTATTTGACTGAGGAGGAAATTTGGATCCCAGAGGGGTTGTGACTTGCCCTGGTCACATAAGTGGTATATGTCACAGAGCCAAGATTAGAAGCCAGGTCCTCTGATTCTAACTCAACATGCTTTCTCCTACACTATTACACAAAACCCAGGGAAGTGTCACCAGCCAGTCTGAACTAGGGTTAAATTCAAAACGTCTAACAGGATAGCTCTTGGTTTAGGGAACATTTGTTTCCAGAAGTGAAGATAATCCAAACAACAAGAGATGAAGCCAAGATGGCAAAGGTAAGCTCTCTGGGTGTGGCTGCTCAAAGCAGGCCTTACAAGGGACCAACTAAATGCCCCAGGGCCAGGTGCACAGAGTGAAGTCTCTGATGAGATCTAAAAATACCTCTCTCCCTCCCTCCAACCCTCCCGAGGCTCTTTCTCTCTGCCTTTGCCAGCGGCGATGTGTGGTCGAGGCTGCCCTCTTGTGGCTAATGGTGATAGTCAAGGAAGAGAAAGGTCTTTATGCATTGAGTTTTCTCCTGTGGCAGGAGTCAGATTCTCCTCTGCTCAGCCCACGAGCTGGGCGGGATCAGCTCTGTCTTTACGCCCTCACCAGACAGCTCCCATCTTTCTGACTCAGGTGGGGAGGGATTCAGGATTCTTGGACAGAAAGGTCTGTCTGCTCTTCTCTGACGAATGGCCAGATGCACCTGGTTTGGGGCTCTGGATGAAGCCAGCATCAAACATCTGCCACTCAGATGACTGTACCCTGGGGTGGCCGAAGAACTGAATGGCCTCGGCCTCTGACAAATATCCCAATTGTAAAACAGCTTAAATCTGAGGGTTTCAGGAGAAACTTCCTTCTAGTGGTTCACTTCTCTTACATAAAGGGAGACAGAGTGTTCATGGTTTGCTCTAGCAAAAGGTGATTTTAGCTGTTCCCTTTCTAAAGCGTGGGGGAAGGACAGCTGGCAGAATTACTTAAAGAAGTTTTCTTTCTAGCCATCACACTTACATTGACTTGAAAACTTCAGCAGGGTGGGGCAGTGTGGCTCATTGGAGAACTCTGGGGCTTGGGGTCACAGGATGGACCTAGGGTCAGCCTTGGCTTTGCCACTGACTGTCTGTGTGACCTCAGGAAAGTCACACTCTTTCTGGTCTGTCTCCTCATCTGTAAAATAAGCAGGTTGGAACTAGGTGACCTCTGGGGTCTTCTACAGCTCTGGCTTTAAGAAAATTATAGGTCAATTCTGAAGCAAGAGCAGTTACGAATAGGTATCTACTAACAGTGACATACCAGCTTTTTTTTTTTGTATTTTTAAGGAAACAGAGAAATTTTAAAAAGAACAAACTTTCTGACCAGACTTAGAATTTGATTGGATAAAAAAAGTGTATTGGATTTCCAATACTAAATAATAAACATGAAATTGTTTTTTAAAAAAGCCATGGAGTATACAGCATATACTACAGAAAAGCAAAAAGAAAAAAGAAAAAAGAAAAAAAGTGTGTACAGAAAGGAAGAATTCTACACAGTCTTTCAGCTTCTCCTATATCAGATTAATAAATCAATATACAGGTTTGTTCCAAATTGTTCTGAAGAAAGCTGCCATCTCACAGCTTAACTATCACCCTAAAAGAGTTACAATGTTTCCGGTCCAAAATCACAGGATAATGTAAGAAAATATATTTAATGGTGAAAAAAGTGTAATACAGAGTATATACTAACTAGAATAAAATGCTTTTCATTTTGTTTAACCTTTAAAAAAAACAAATTTGAACAGTTGTTTAAAAAATAAGCCATCATTGAAAAATATCTCCCTCCCCCCGCCCCAGCTGCCCCCTTCCCAATTTCATGGCAACATCAGCAGTGCCAAGGGGTGTTTCAACAGCGCAGCAACATTCACAAGCAGCCACCAAGTTGGAATACGGAATTACTGGGTGTACATTTCTTTGGGCAAAAGGTAACACATTTTGCAGGGTGAACACCACCGCCCTCCCTGGCCCTCTCCGGAGCAAGGAGGGGGCTAGCTGGTATTTCCAAGATACCTTCTAGCTTATTGATATTCCTGAATATTTTCCATGGAATGTGGGGCCAGCTGGTCTAGAGGTGGGGGTTCCAATGCTGTACTTTTCATTGCCTCAGCATAATAAAGAGTTCATCGTTTAGAAAAGTGCACAAAAGATCCAGAAAATGAGAAAAAACAATCTTTTTACAAGGAAGTTTAAAACCCAAGCTAGCCTGTCGCCAGTTACGGCAGTGCTCTGGGGTCCCGCTGGGGAGTGGGCTGATCTCTGGGTGTGACGCTCACTGGCTGTCCCTCATCTTCCACTTTAGGCTCCTGGGTTAGTCGGGGGCAGAAAGCAACTCGCCACCCTCATTCCTACTGATTAAATAAGCCTCAGCTTCGGAGGCCCGCGGGTGAGGGTAAGCGACTGGGGCAGGGGGGTGGGTGGGAGGTTGAAAAAGAGAGGGCAGCATTGCTGAGATCAGCCCCTCTGTGGGACCAGCTGCTCCCTCCTTTCCCTCTCCTCTCCACCTCTTCGCTCCAGACACTCAGGAAGTAAGACTTCACTCAGGATTTGCTTTCCAAATACGTTCTTCACAGAAAACTTTCTTGTTTTCTTCGAAACAAAAGATTGCAAGATAACTGATATGGAGGTTTCATGAGAAACTTCTACTGTCAGGGAGAGGCTTTATTTCGTAGCCCAACTCTTCTCCAGTTAGGGATCCTGGCTAATGCTGGGTCAGTGGGAACTTAGGAGAAGGAGGAATTCTACCAGGCCGGCCACTGCCCTGGGCTCTGGTCCCTTCACACTCTCCTTTCCCCAGTCCAAACAACACAAATGTGGGAACTAGAGCTCCAAACAGCTTAGCTTGCTCTGCTGACGGTTAAAGCTCGGGCTTCTTAAGGGTTCCTGACGTTGTCAGTGGCAGCCTGGAATGAGGAAGGGGCTCTCTGCTTCAGGATCTTCTTGCCCTGACTAAAACTCAGCATTTGGGACCAAGGTGGACGGGACGTCGGAGGTCACCTACCCTAACCCTCTCATTTAGAGAGGAAGAAGGACATTTCTAGAAATCTGCTGTCATGTTTTTGCAGGTATATGTAAAGCTTTGCTAGGACCCTGGAAACACCACCGCTGCCTTATCTTGTTCCCTCTCACGTTCCCAGCTTTGGAAATGCATCCCCCTTGGTCTTCAACTGATTTCTGATGAGGAGTTCTTGGCTGAAAGAAGAGTCTCCAAGCATGCAGGAGCACTATGGTAAAGCTGACTGAACTGAAAGGCCAGCCACACATGAAGGGCATTTCTTAACCAAATTCAAATGAAACTGACTGCAAATTAGTAACAATAGAGGCTGTGATGTGACAAGGAAGGAAGGACATTAAAAAAAAGTTTCCAAATTCTGCAGGATCCTGGAAGAAAGGACAAAAATGGAAATAATCATGGGACCTCCCATGGCCCTTCCCTCCCCTCCACTTCTTCCCGCCCACCCTAATCCCACCCTGCCCTACCCCATCCTCCCCCAATACTGAAACTGCACAAAAAGTGACAAACAAATCTTTCAATGTTACATTTCATTCAAACAGATCTGTAATCTCACAGTGATGAGAGGAGAAAGTCAGGCCTTTAATAATTATAATAAAAAAATAATAATAATAAAAAAGCTTACAAATAGCAATGCAACATCCCTCCCACTGGCCCCCCTCCCTCCCAAGTGATGGACTGACTGTTGGCAGAGGACAGATTACCCAGAATAAAAAAACTCAGAACCCCCAGAACAAGCCACACCGTCAATGATTTTCCATACACAAGAGAAACAAGCAGTCAAATGTCAGGCCAGGCTGTGGAAAACAACACTCTAATTGTTCTTTCTTTTTTGGATTACATAAAAGGCTTTTCCTTTAAAAAAAAAAAAGATAAAATAAAATAAGAAACAAACAAAATTGTACACAAACGCCAATGTCCAACGCTCAATGAAGGTGGTGCGGTCTCAGCACTGAGATGAAACCTGGGGGGATCTTGGCGCAGATGCCACCCACAGCCTTTCCCCAGGACACTCCGCCGTGGCGGATGGTGCCCCCTCCTTGCGGCGTCAGAGGCAGAGGGCGGAAGCCGCCCTGGCCATGACTTCATCCGTGATGACGACAGCGCAGGGGGTCGGCCGTCTTGTGAACGGGCACCAGCGCTGAGGCACCGGCTGGCTCGCGTCCTCGACCCCGACGCTCTCGTGTGCTGTCCTCTCACTCTGTACAATTCCTTGTTTTCCAAGGCCAAGTCCCAAGACTCAGGGAATGGGGTTTGGAGTCACGTCTGGCTGAAGGTGGTCATGCTGTTGTGATGGCATTAAGGTCCTTCATTAGTCCTTCCAGGTGGGCCATCTCTTTGGTCAGCTCATCCGGTTCATAGCTCTGCGGAAAAGGTCTTTGAGTTAGTGCACGAGTCAATAAATCAGCAGGCTGATTGAAAGCCCCTACCATGTGCTGAGGATGCAGATTAACAGACCTATTAAGCACCTGCCTATGTATTGGGGGTATAATGACAAAACAGCAGCCTCTGCCCTTAAAGAGCATGCATTCCATTGAGGGAAATCACACGTCCACCGGTAAGTAATTATACAAAATAAATACAAGGCCACTTCTAGAGGGTGAGGGAGGGGAGGGGTCAGTGTCAAGGACCCCTTGTAGGGGTGATGGCACTTGAAAGAAGTGAAGGATCCCACGGGGAGGGGAGGAGGGAGGTTGTTTCAGGGATAGGGGGCAGACGGGCTATTCAAGGGTCTACAAACGGGGGATGTATGGGGGAGCAGCAGGGATCACATTACTCCAGGTCCACTAGACCATGTCTGGAAAGTCTGTAAGTCTGGAAAGATGGGCCGGAGGCTGCTTGTGAAGGGCTTTAAAGCCGCATTTGACCTAGAGACGAGAGGGGTCAAGGGAGCTTCTTGAAGAGGAAGTGACATCGTGTGCCACATGCTATAGGTAGGAGGAGGATGGCGTTGACCAGGAAGCTAGTGCAACGGTCTGGGTTAGAGGTGAGGGTGGCCTCGACTTGAGTTTGGACTGAAACCCAGATGGATGGACAAAAAAACTATCACCAAGGTGGGAGCAGGAAGACTTGCCAACGGATTGGATGGGAGGGGCAAAAGAAAGAGAAGAAGGTGGGTGACTGGAAGGATGGTGGTACTTTAAAAGAAATAAGGAAATTAGGCCAAAAAAAGTAAGCTATCCCACGACTGCCCAAGTGACCAGCCAGATGGCCCAGGGCTGGGTGGCAGTGGAGATGAGATGAGATGAGGACTGCAGAATGAGAAAACAAGACTGATGAACAGTCTCCAGGTCCAGGCTCGCCTGTCCATCCACAGTCAGATCAGCCAGTCTGCCGTGGGTGTGTTGAAGAGAGAAGTCACTCACGCCCCACCTCCAGTCTAGTGTGATAAGGAGCCTCCTACCCAGGGCAAACAGAACAAAACTGCTGCTTTCACCTTTACATTCTTCCTCTCTGACCTCCCTTCCAAATTAATTTTTATTGATAATGTCAAACTGTACTGGTTATTTTGTAAAGGAGATCTTAGGAAAATGTTAAGAGCCTGAAGACAAGCAACAAAACACAGCTTCGCAGAATCATTCTGAACAAGTTGCTCCTACGCTGGTCCGTGAAGGTGAAACCCCCCTTTCCTCAGCCACCTGAAGAATCCCACCTCCTCCGGACTTGCACATCTATGGGATAACTGGACATCAACTCTGGGGTTTTTGGGGTACGAACACTGATGGTGGCCCGCCCAGCCCTGGCCATCACAGTCACATTTTTCCTTCCTTTTCTCCTACTCACATGATTGTTCTGATACTCTGGCCACAAAGTTTCAGCATCACTATGGGCAAAATACAGAGAAACTTTTCTATGCTGTTAGACAATCAAAATTATTTTCTAGCACCCTTAACTAATGAAAATGAACTGAATCAAATGTGCTTAGGCTGTCTGCCTAAGGGGACTAAAAGAAAACCCAAATCCTCCCACTGCTCTGACGCTGCCTCAGCAGAAGCATGAGAGAGAAAGCAGCGGAGTGAGGGAAATCTCTGGAGCCTGCTCTCAGTCCTCTGCTTAAGCATGGACACAGTGTGCCTCAGGTCACATTCAAGGGTTCATGTTTCTGTTGGAATCGATGTCGAGACACTGACATTCCGACCCAGTCGTTGATGTATGTGGGCTTATGCTGAATGGGAATTTGTTTTTACTATCTGGTCAGTTCTAGCAACCGACAAGGAGAAAAGCCCCTGGGACATTTCTGTCTGCGAATGCCGCCCCCTCGTGGCAGACCCCCCTTGGGAATGGGACTCGCCTCCTAATTCAGATCAGATTACAGGACCTGCCTCCCTGAAGGATGGCCACGGTCCCTGCCCTAGGGCTGGACAGGAAGTGGTGACCTCTCTCTCCAGCCCTACAGCCTCTCTCCTGAGCTCCGGTCTTGGACGTTTCCCACGCACGTCCTGCTGCTGTCGCTGCTCAGTCGTCTGCAATTGTGTCCCACTCTCTGTGACCCCAGCTGGGGCCTTCTTGTCAAAGATACTGGAGTGGTGGGCCATTTACTTCTCCAGCTCATCTTACAGATGAGGAAGCTGAGCCAAACGGGGTGACGTGACTTGCCCAGGGTCACACAGCTACTAAGTGCCAGATCTGAACTCCTGAGGATGAGTCTTCCTGATTTCAAGCCCAGCGCTCTTTCCACCGTGCTGCCCAGCTGCCCCTGTAGCACATGCTGCAGGCATCTCATAGTTAACATCACAAAACTGAACTCGTTAGCTTTCTCCTGAAACCGACCCATTTCTGTCAAAGGCACCAACATTCTTCTAGGTGGCCAGGTCTGTCCAGGTTCATCACGCTCCCTGACCTTATAAACATATGCGTATATGTATACACGTGTATCTACATGCCTATACACACGTGTGGAGACCTCACCTCTGCACCCAATCACCAGCCTAAGACCCTCATCCTCTCCCCTTTTGCCTGGATGATGGTGATGGCCACCCTCTTGGTCTCCCTGCCTCCAGTGTCCCCTCCCATTTATCCCTCCCATGGCTGCATTTCCAGGAGCTGATCATGCCATTCCACTTCAACTCCAGCCACTTCCTTGTTTTCTCTCAGATCAAATGCCAGCCCTCGCTTGGTGTCTCAGGCCCCCTCCAACGTGGTGCACTCATTTCACACCTCACTCCCCTTCTCTTCCTCTCTGGTGCAGTCACACCTGCCTCCCTGAGGGTCCTCCCTTGACCCTCTCTCTCCTGTCTCTGGGCTGTGGCTGGAATGCATTCCTTCCTCACCTCTGCCTCAGTCCAAGGGCCTTTTCTGCTCCTCGGGTCTCAGGGCCTCCCCCTCCTCACAATGACCTTGTATTTATTTTGTACCTATTTATGCACATTCATGCTCTCTCCTCTGCAGCATGTACACTCTTTGGAGGCAGGGGAACAGAGCCTGGCACACAGCAGGGGCTTCAAGAAATGCTTGTTGGCTGACTGATGGATCGACTGGCATTTCCCTAGCTTGCTTTTAGTGACATTTAGTCACAGCCCCAGAGCTCAAAGGATGAAAGCTACTCTGGGGCCACTTATTTTTACCAGGAAGTCCTGATGGCACCCACTTCGCCATCCGGTGCTTCAGTATTCTTGTCTTAAGGAATGCTGAGCCGAGAGCAGCAGAGGTACAGCCAGTCAAAGACAGAAACCCCAAAACAGAACGCAGGGCCTGGCACTTAAGACCCTACTGTTCCCTTCCTATTTTGTGAACTGCAAACTTAGGCACAACCACACTCCCTTCCAGTTCACAAAGGGATGTGAAGTCAGACTGAAGAGTGAATGAGGATGACCAAGATGATCATGTAAAGACCAGAAGGAAAGAAGCAGACAGAAGGGGTGGGACAGGGAGTGTCCAAATGCCAACTGCTAGAATGCTGTGACAGCTCAGTCTAAACCAGAGCCATGAACTGCTCATGTCTTTAGCGTCCGGGCAGGGCTCCTGGGAGGCTCAGTCGGCACTGACGGATGCTGTGATGCTGAGTGTGAAGACAGTTCCCTTACACTCTCCGAGTCGTCCAGCATCCTCGTGGTCTCCTGCACGTCGGGGGCGCTGGGAACGATCACTGGCATAGGAGGCCGGCTTCTCCCCAACGTCCCGATCGACGCCGTCTTCACCGAGTGAAGGTGATGGTTTGGAGCTGAAAAGGTAGGTTGACATTGTCAAGAATGGGCTTCGCCACGGCCTCTGCTGAGTGACCACAGGCCACCAGCCAAGCACTTAGCAGCAGAGAAGGTGGTTCCCATCGCTTGGACGGGAGCTCTCTGAGGTGTGGACAGCAGGAGTGATGGGGATTCTGTGGCAAGAATGGGGCAGAGAATAGCATTGAGAGGGCCCTACAGACCTCTCACAAGGAGGGGGGGGGAGTTGTCTAATGATCACAAATGGGCCTGAGGGATCATAAACTGATTTTATGGTAAGCAATCACAAATTACCAAGGGTGTATGTGCATGTGTGTGTGTATGTGTGTGCATGTGTGAGAACACCAAGAATATACAGGGAGCCTGAGAGGGGAGGAGAAGGGAAGGGAGGCTTCCTCTCAACTGTCTGCTGGCATTAGCTTTGAGTCCTGAGGCTGTGACCAAAGGCTCCTCACTTTCCCCTCTGGCTCATGGATGTGTCCTTACCTTGCTGAGACAGTAATGGTGTGCTTGGTAAGGCAGGGTCATAGGTGGGGGGCCCTGGGGGGTGGAACCGCAGGCACAGCGAAGCTCTTCAGTGGGTGCGAGGGACGGACGTGGGCTGTAGGAAGGTTTGGGCCAGAGCCTTCTTCCTGGGTACTGGCCAAATAGGAGGAGCTGGTGGCCCCCTCCAGATCTGGATGGTCAGTGCAGCACGTCTGAGACGAGGAAGCTGGCAAGGTGTCAGTGCTGGGGGTGTTCCGAACCGATTCTACAGTCAAAAAAAGGACAAATGTCAGCAGTTCTTGAGCCCAGGAAGGTGTTAAAGTGGAGGTTTTAGGCCCCTTCTAATGTAGGGGTCAGTCAGATCGCTGGAGGGGAACACTTCTCCCAAGGGAATTAATTTGCAACAGTGTAACATTAAGGATGACCTGCTCTTTAAAAAAATTCTAGCAGCATGAAGAGCTATCCCTATTATTTTTTTTCTATTTAGCCAATATTTTATAAGTTCAATTCAATAAACATTCATTATGTATCTCTGTGCCCTACAAGGTACTAGCAGAGGTGCTGAGGACATCAGAGTAAAGCGAGACCTAACATTTCCTCTGAAGGAACTCGTGCTCATCCCAGAAGGAAGCACACAAAGCCAGTCCATAACTAACTACGGTACACATCATAGTAGAACAAGTGCGTGAGAAAAGTCCAGATGGGGTGAAATGAAACATCTATGAAAGGGAAGATCACTCGGGGCTGGGGGAATCAGGAAGAAGAGACAGGGAAGGGGGGACACTAGATGAGGAGTGTACAAAGTCAAGGAGGTGAGAGAGGCAGGGCCAACGCAGGGAACAGTTAATAGAGTGATGTGACAGGCCAGAAAGGCAGGGTGGAGCCAGGTTGTGGAGTCCTGAATGAGAGGCTTTCAGTGGGTAATGGGGAGCCATGGCAGGAAGTGACCCCATCAAATCTGGGCAGTCAGGATGCTGTTGCAGTCATACCAGGAAGAGACAGGAGAGCCTGAAATAGGGTAGCAGCCAGGGGAGTACAGAGGAGGAGGCCGATGCAAGAGGTGGACGTTTCATGTGTCTGGAAGTAGGACGGTGTCACTGGTGGGGAGGAGGAAGATGGAAAGAGGGCAAGGTGGGCAGCGGCTAAGAGAGTGTTTCACTTTGGACACACTGAGCATGACCCAGGTCATTGAGGCAGCTGCAATGGGGGAATGTAGCTCGGGGAGAGAACACAGCTTCAGGGCAGATGTGCATTAAGTCTCTTCTCTGGTACATACACAACTGCACAAGTGTAGTTGAAAGGTGACCACTAAAACCACGGAGGGGAGAAGATCACAAAGAATAAGAAAGAAAGCGTAGAGAGCAAAGAGGTAAGGACCAAGGACAGAGTCTTGGGGAATGTCTCTGCTTTAGGGACCATGCGGACGCAGAACTGGGAAAGACAGCAGAGATTTCTCTGAAGTAAGCAAATGGGAAGAAAGATGTAAGGAACGCCTACAGAAAGAAGGTTCCCGATGACCCATTTCCTTGATATGTAAAAGTTAATGATTCTTAATTCTCCTCTAACTGTTTGACAGCCTTAGATGGTAATCTGTGTGCTTTATTCTACCCACTTTTACTCACCAAGCATTTGTGGGTGCCTACAGGGTCCCCAGCTCTCACTCAGGAGTTGGGAGACATCAAAGGGAGACCTCCAAGAGTTCTGGACAAGACTGCCACGTTACTAGGCAAGAGTCTCAGATGGCCCCCCAGAGCCGGAAAGAGGCTGCTGAGGCTGATCTGTAGAGGGGAAGCTTAGAGCCTTCTGAGGCAGCCTTTCCAACTCTGGCCAGCTCAGATTGTTAGAAGGTTATTCTTGACATCAAACCTAGTTCTGCCCTTTGCTCTCCCTAATCCAATCCCCCTTCCATACGACAAGCCCTTCCAAATGCCTGAAGACAGCAACCATGTGCTCCCAAGCCTTCTAGCCTACAGGGGGATCTGGGCAGCGACTCCAAGGACCATCCCTGAACACCCCTTCCTTTCTGTCTTCTCAAGGCCCAGTCACAACTCGGTTGTACCCTGCCCTTGCTGTCCCCATTTCTCCTTCTGTGCTTCCATCCCTTAATGTCCCTTTAAACCTCAAGTCTCTCCTTAATGTTTTAGTTAAAATGAACCAAATAAAGGCCTTTTGATTAAGCATCATGGGCTAGTCTGACTCTGTGCTACTGAATGCACTAGCATCCTAGGGACTTGGATGGCGGCACAGACAGCATGGTCATAAAATCTGGAGATCACACAAACAAAGTTGGGAAGACCAGCTAGATATCTGGCCAGACAAGAAAATTCAGTGGGCATCAATATAAAGTCTCAGGGTCACCGATTCAGAACTGGGAGATGCCTTAGAAGGCTGACTCCAACTCTGTCATTTTGGGCAAGAGGAAACAGAGGCCCAGGGTCACACAGAGAGTAAGCGGCAGAGCCACAATTTTCATCCAGGTCTCAACAGTCCTTTCCCACTGTTTACTTAGCTTGGTTTTATTAAGGTTTTTGTCCTAGACAACATATTCCCATTTTGTCCCCGTTACAAATTTTCAGTGTGAAGCTTAAGTGGAGAAGATTGAGTTTTCTAGCCAAGTTTTATCAAAAGAGATAATGTGCTTTGTGAACCTTAAAGTAGTACATGAGTGCTAGCTATCATTACTGACATAACAGAACAGATAAATGTTGTTCAAAAAGTCAATCTAATAAAATCAGGAAGGAGTGGGGAGGGGCTCAGTGCCTGGTTGGTTGATACTAAGGGTGAGGGCATGGTGCCAGGAGGCCCTGGCTCATCGAGGGCTACATTCCTCTTTCCCTGGGGTCCAGCCCAGCTGGGGGCAGTAGCAATCATCTCACTAATGTGGGGAGGTGGAGCACAGGTGTCAAACACCTTTGACTGCAGCCCAATCCAGTTAAAATGCAGTTGGGAAATATTTAACAAAATAAAAATACAATAAATCACAGATAATGTTAATATGTGGTTTTCTAAGTCAATGGGTGGCCCTTGTTTCTATCTGAGCTGGTTCCTGCTTGTATGAAGGGCATGGATACAGCCAGTGAGACTTTCATGAATGCGGTGCTCCCACCTTCTAGAAAACCACACCTGCTTCCCTTCATGCAGCATGTTAATGGGGACACAGCTACATTCATTACAGACATCTTTACTCATAACCATGGAAGCAAAGGCAACAAAAACTACACACATTAAGACAAATACCATGCATCCCCCTCTAAGGCAGAGGCCGCCCCCAACCAGTAATCACACCTCAAAACCTAGGGGCTGAAGGAGAGAAATGGGGAAGCTGTGGAGAGGCAGCACCGAGCATGAAAAAGAACTGGAGTCTAAGGAGACTGAACACACCAGAGTTAACAGTATGGATGCGATCCGAGCAGCTGGGTGGCACAGTGGATAGAGCACTGGGCCTGGTAGCAGGAAGATCTGAGTTCAGATCAGGCCTCAGATGCTTCCTTGCTGCGTGACCCCTGGCCAAGTCACTTAGGTTTGCCTCAGTTTCCTCAACTATAAAAAGTGAGATCACAACAGTGCCTATTTCCACTGTTGTAATAAGAATAGAATGAGATACTTGCAAAGAGCTCAGCACAGTCCCTGGCACAGAGGAGGCACTTAACAAATGCCCATTCCCTTCCTCTTCCCTTCCCCTAAGAAAGCTAATATGACATCAGGCAATAAGAAGAGAGGCCCAGTGTTAGGACCTGGGAAGAGATAATCCAATCACATGCAGAGTAATTTTTTTCAGATCTTGAGAAGGATGCTAAGAATATGCTGGAGAGTGTTCAGGGGAGGACAAGGGGAGGGTGAAGGGCCTCAAGTTCACCACATTTAATGAACCAAGGATATGCTCAGGTTGGAGAAGACAAGACAAGACTTATCCCAGCGAAAGGTCGGTTCACCACCTTCCCACATGTGACAGGCGACCAGACGGAAGGGGTTTGGACAGAGGGCAGAGTGAGGAGCAAGGGGGCGTGACGTCAGAACAGTCACCAACAATGAGCAGGAGCTACCAGGAGGTGGCATGCTCCTTCTCCTCCTCCTCTTCCTCCCTGAACGCCCTCCAACAAACATAAGCTGAACGCCTGCCAGGCGAGCTGCAGAGCAGGCTTCTATTCAGGCATGGGCTGGACAAGATGGCCTTGGAGGCCCCTTCCTTTTGGAAGACCTTATGATTTTGATGTTTAGGGTTAAAAAAAGGTCTGGAGATCCTTTGAAATACCGGCTATAAAGTAACATTCAGTAAATCCTCTCTTACATAATCTTGGCATATCAGGGACAGACAACCATAGTGATGGATGCACAAGCATAAGTCATAGAAAGAAAAATATGATTGTGAAAAGTATGTCAAGTGAATTTTTATACATCAAAACCTATTTCTCACTTGCTTTCTCCTGATTTGTAGTTGATCTCCATTGGTGCCTACCCTACCATGTACTTTCTTTTGCCTCTGAAAGCTACTGTGTCTAAGTTATTTAGCTACATTAAAGAGCTGCCACTTTAAAAGTCACTGAAGCAAATTCCTTTCTCAAGTAAAGAATTCTTTTGAAAGCAAACTATTGCTTCTAATTTTTCTGTTTGGTAAATGGATTCTCAAGTACTGAATTCTCTTCCCTACATTACAGTGATTAAGGCTAAGCAGGTTTCAGATGAAGAAACGCCATGCCACCCAGACACATAGATAAAGGATACTTCATTGTTAAGAGGCCCAAACACCTTGAGTACTGGAACCTTTCACCTGCTGTCTACTCTTTCCTTAGGACTATTTTTATAACACCATTCTTTGCTACATACTCTGCACATAACTTCTATGTAACAACTTATGTTGTCTCCTCATTAGACTAAAGTCTTTGAAGACAGGGCTGTTTTTTGCTTTTTCTGCATATTCCTTGTGTTTAGCACAGTGCCCGGCACATATTAAGTGCTTAATAGATGCTTGCCGATTGATTGTCAAGCTGAGACACTGTTAGCAGATGATGCAAGGCTTTCTCTCCACTGCAGGCTGCATGGCTCAGATTCTGTGCTTCCTGCTTCAAGTCAGACCAACACAGGAGGTTTCTCCCTCAACACAAAACTGAGGTGAAGACATGGAAGGTGCAGAGGAGAATGTCCTCACTGCTGTTGCCTAAGAGGAGTTGCCTGGCATTCTTGAGGTTCTCACAGATGGCAAAACAGCTTCAAGAAGTGAAGTCCAAGGAAAACACTGTTTACTATCTGAATCCTACTAACCCAACATTACAGTTACCTAAAAGGAAAAACAACTCTACTTTGTAAATACCAGGTAACTATTAAATATGTTCTTTCCTTCCAAGCTTTCACTGATTTAAAAGAGAAATAAATGGAGGAAACTCTTGAATAAAGATGCAAGTTTATGACCTTACAAAAGTGAGGTTATTGATTAAAATCACATACCTTACAGTGAACACTCAAAGCAGGGGAGAAGAGCTGAAGGTGAACTTTAGAGACAAAAAAGAATCAGTTTAGGAAACTCTTAGTTTCACTCTCAGCATGTACTCTGCTCAGCTACAACAGAAGGGTGAGGAAAACTCCCCAAACCCATGACCAAACTGGGACTTCTGAAATTCTTGAGCATTTTATTTCCCCCAGTTCTTTGCAGATGGATTCTTGCTGGGCCTCAACACTTGGGTCTCACCTGTAGAATTAGCCCTGTCTGAGTGGGACAAGGATGTGCCAATGGGCCATGGGCTGCCCTGAAGGTGGAGATGGCTGCGGGTCGGAGAAGCGAGGCTGCTGGAGTGGAAATGATGGTGAGGGTTATCGAGGGAATGGATGGGATGGGCACTAATCACGGCTGTGGATGAACACAAGACAGAAAAATGCTTAACATACCTGCACAGACACACATACATTACAATAACATTACAACCAGCCACTTCCCTCCCATGTGCAATCCAACAATTGAAGGCCCTATGAAAAGGGACAGTCATTTAATGTTTTGCATTTATTTTTATGTCAACGTACTCCCTTTGAAAACTACACAAATGCTACTTTAGCTGTTTCTCACGTGCCATAAAGATACGTAAAAATAGAAGTCCTTCCTTCATGAAAATTATTAAACCACTCTGCTATTTCTTGGCTGAAGGGCAAGACACCTGATCAATATTAGCTGAATATATGAATGGACAGTGGTACAGCTGTAATATATGTGAAATGGTGTAATGTGGTACCTGAAGTGTAACCCAAGAGGCTTCTTCCATTGCTGACAGCTTAACAAGCAATCCTTGCTAGCGTCAATCCACAGGAAAGGAGAGAATCTCTTGCTTTCATTTAAAGACATCACTGTTTGGAGGTTTGACTGGAATCTTTCCTCATTTCTCTACTTGGCCTGTTGGGAGCTTGTGATGAACTAGCTACTTTGGGTAGAGAATCCAGATGTCTAGTTTAGGGGGATTTCATGTACTTGTGAGAAAGTGAATATCATTCTTAATAAAGGATGTTTCTACGTATGAGCTGAGCTCAAAGAGACAGGCTCTGTACAAGGCAGCCAAATACCCAAGAGAAGGAATAGTCATTACACAATTCTAAAATTCATTTTCTCAATTATGGCCAGCTAAAGAACAACCACAGAAAGGGAAGGACTAAGAACAAAGTGGCCGACCTGATCAGTAAAAATGGTTTTTCTTTCTTTTCACAGAATTTACACCACAAATATAAAGCATCCTTTCCCCTGCTTCATACAAGGACTCTGGGATCACTGTGATTAAGCTTAATTACCTTTCTGAGACTTAAGAAAATGATTTGTCATCAGGGCAGTGCTTAGGGGGTTGGTGGGTCTCCATTTCTAAAACTTACTCAGGTACAAACAAGTTAAAATGGCCATCGAGGACAACCCTGAAGAGGAAAAGTAGTTAAAGACTTGAGGATGAGTGCAGGGGGCAATCCTACCCCCCAGGGAAGGTGTGGGTCTGGTCCATTAGACCTCAGGTTTAGATGGCCATCCTTAGCTCCCCCCCCAAATCCTTGTTTAGAAGTCCAGCTGCCTGCCACAAGGCAGGAGTTCCTACGATTTGGAATGCTGGATTTGCTCCACTCAAACTATCTAAAAGAAGCAGCACAGAGCAGTGGAGCTGGCCCCGAAGCCAGCGGGGCCTGGCTCCAGCCCTGCCTTTGCCATGTCCTGGCTGAGTGACCCTCAACAAATGTCCCTTTGCTTCCCAGGGCCCCAGGCAGCTCTCTAAGAATGGGTGCTGATCTGCTCTGTTGGAAGGAATTACTTCCAGGAAGCCCCTTGCACCGATGAAATCACAGGTTTTGGAAAAAAATTAAAATGGCTATCTAAGAGGAACACACAGACTAAATATTGCAGCTCTGTCAGGTCCATGTGCTTTTCTTTTAAATTAAATATACCTTTCAGGTATCAGGACGTACACCAAAGAATGAAAGCCTCTACAAGTCACCGGACCGAACAGCAGGGGAGCCACGGGGCAGTGCCCCTCCCCGAAGCCTCTTCTTTGGGGGCTGGGGCCAAAGACACAGGGATTTATCATCAGTGGCAAAGAAATACTGCCTCCCTTCCATAGCATCAGCAAGAGGAAGACAGAGATACATCTATGGACTTCTCACTGGAAGGCTCAGATTCAAAGTCTTCTGGTTATTGAGACATCTCACAAAAGGCAAAACTCATCTTGGACAACTCTCTTCTCTGCCAAGGTGTTTCTGAGATCCCAACCCCTACCTAACGGCCATGTTAACAACTCTTTACTCTGGAGGAGCAAGGTCGGCTGTATCCTTTAGCTCTCAGCAGTACTCAGGCTCCTGGGGTCAGCCTGTGAGAGGACCCCACTTTATTAGTGGCCAGGATACACAGCTGCCTCCTGGTTTAAGAGGAAGTGTGGCACTGCAGGATTCTCAAAACCCAAAGACAACAGGAACAATGATTAGATTTAATCTTTCTTCTTCTCTTTCCCTTCACCCAACAGTAAAGTCATAAGAATTAAATTGATAGACTTTATACTGAAGCATGTTACATGTCTCCTCAAATAATCAAAGAATAAAGTTGATCACCTTTTCCAACATATATAAATTGGGAACAAATTTGGAAATAAGGATAATCACTATTTTGCTATTTTTTAAAGGAAATACTAGCTTGATATGTGTGTGTTTGCATATAAATAATGAATTGCCATTTGAATCAAAACCAAAAGAAACTGAAATTTGTTTATAAATTACTTCTGAAGATGTAATGAATGACCTGAAAAAAGGGACATGTCAATGGTCGTGGGGTACCTGTGAAAGGCAAATCCTTGTCTCTTCTGGGCCAGATGTTAGACTGCCAAATAACAGTTTACTCCTCTCTACTTCTACCTCAAACATTTTCATAGGTTCTAGTAGACAGCTAGACTCTCATTCTTGCTAAGCAAGTTTTTAGCATCTAGCATCATATTTATGTGTAGATGGAGGAACTTTTCACGGAGCTTATCCAGGAACAGGGTGAGAATGACTTTCGTATTACTGGGAGAAGGATAATTCATGATTATTCAATTAAAATCGTTTCTCCATGCCTTTGAAATGGGCATTTCATGGCACAGGAAAAAAGCCATTTTTCTCAAAATTCCCAAAACACTCAGGTATTTAAAGGACTTTACTGCCTCTAAAATAATAAAATATTCTTAAGAAGCTTATCAGTATTGCACAGATATTAGGAAGGCTAAAAGCTGTTAAAAACAAACAAACAAAACAACCCTTGCTTTCACGTATGCTGATCCACTCTTTACATTCCTCTACCATGTGTTTTTTGATTGGATGGTCAGATCTATTCCTCTGAGGCTGTGGCTCCCTCACTACAGGAGAAAGAATGACTACCTCAGTGATTATTAAACCTCTGATTTAAAAATTCCAGGTGAACGATGCTTGCTTACAAAACAACGTCAACTTTAGACTCTTGGTAGGTTTTTGATTGGCAGGTGGTTAACATTCTTGACGTAAGCTCTCATCATTAAATTTATTGGTGAACATTTGGGCAAAATTAAATTAGGCACTGGTTCATGGCTCTTTCCAAATCCAGCAACACAACCGATGAGTTAATAGAATATTCTAAACTTACGCTGGGGTGGCTGAGAGTCAAAAGGCATCATCATTTTTGGTCTCATTCCTCGCCTTCCTGCCAGTGTAGACATACTATCTTCTGATTCATGCCCTAAACACCAAAGATCAAAGTTAGTTACAACCTAGTAGTCAGCCCAGCAGAACCACTTAGAAGCTTGATTAAAAATCATTTCAGTGGTGAAACCAAGAATCACAGACACCATAGTTAGTTATAATGATGAACAAAGTGGTTCTCAACATATTCCTAAAATAAAATGTCAAGGAATGAGAGAAACTCAAGGTAGTCCTCTCTGAAAAACATGTGGCACCAAGGAGCACCACATTTTCTTCCACTGGTTAGCCGATTCTGACTACCTGGTCAGAATTCTATGCATGTATGCTTATGCTCTTTGAAGATAGGCCTTCACAGACAGTAACACTTTTGAGCCAAAACATTCTAACTGAATCTCAATAAAAGTGAGGGAGAAGACATGAGAGTGTGTTATGGACATCAAGTGATGTCTTCCTTTCAATACAACTTTGGGGAGATCAATCTTGTTAAACAAAGTGAGCAGGGAAGCCAACTCCCTGATGGCTCATCACTCATCACAAGTTATCCCCAAGACCATCTACGGAAATGTTCTGTAACCATATAGATTTTATGAAATCAATTCTTCAAACATTGTCAAAACAAACAAACAAAAAACCACCTTAAAGTTGAAGACAATTTTAATAAAAACCTGTAATCTTCATATAAGGAGAAAACCTCTTTCACTAAAGAATAATACCTCTATATGAATTCCGTCGTTGATGGATACTGCTGTCCATGGAATTATCAACAGGGGTAATGTCTTGGGAGTTTCGTGGGATTGGGGTATCAGTCATGATCGGGTTTGGGTCTGGAGACTTATCAATAGGCTTTAACTCCAGCCTCTCGTGATGGATCCAAAGGTCAGGAGGTTTGACATCTTTGGAATTTCCTTTGTATTTATGTGAGCCATTCACAGATTTGCAGGCAGCTCGTTTTCTATGGTGGAAAAATAAAAGTATAATTACACAAGGAATCAAAACTCCTTACAACACTTTTCTGTCAACAACAAAAAAATAAGATTCCTGTCTAGAATGTGTAAACACAAGATCGGCCCATCTGAGGCAGGCAACAAATAGGAATTGGCTGCTGGAGTGGAAATGTTGTTTACATCACAGAGAAAAGTGAAAACTCCAGATCAGAATTTGTGTTAGAAGGAAAAATGTTTCAGTGGGTCTGGAGAATGGAAAGGACCTTAAAACTCTACAAGGGAAGTTATCTCAGGAGGGATTGGAAGTGCTCAAGAATGAACTTGTAAAATCACACAAGGAAGCAGAATAATGAGGAAAAAAAGAATATGAATTCATTGGCTAATTTATATTTTAAAAGTCCACATTCAGCAGGCAGAAGAAAAGGCAGGTAAAAGGAGAAAAGATACAAAAGCAGCATATGGCTGTGAGAAGTGGGGACACAAACACACTGTGGATGGAGCTGTGAACTGACATAACTATGACGTCAAACAATCAGGAATTAATTCATACCCTCTGATCCTCTAATTCCACTTCTGGGAATGAACCCCAAGGAAGCAAAAGTTTAATATATACCAATACACTTACAGCAGTGCTCTCTGTAGGAGCAAAAAACTGGAACCAAAGTGTAAACACAATGACTGGGAAACGACTGGTCAGACTGTGGCAGGAGAACAGAACACTAGTGTTCTCACTCACTGTAAGAGGAAGTTGAGAAGGCTGGTATAAACTGATACAGAGCCAGGAGAATGATGCACACAGTGATGGCAAGAGCATAAATGAAAACAATGCAAAGAGACAGCAGGACTCAGTTGATTCATGATGCTGAGTCTGGTCTCAGAGGGCTGAGGATGGTCACCTTCGTCCTGCAATGACTGCTGTCCACACTGTCACCATCAGCTTTAGTAGCTGTGCTGGCTTCTCAGCCTTAATGATTTTCCTTCATTATAAAAGAAGTTTCTTTGCACGCACATACGTGTGTGTGTGTGTGTGTGTGTGTGTGTGTATGTATGTGTTGGGGAGGGCGGCTGAGAAGTGACAATGGTTTAAAAAACAAAATCCATCAGTGAAACATTTTTAAAAAGAATGAATGGTAGTGTCAGCAGTGCTGAGGTTCAGAATGAGCGGAGTGAGACTGCTGGAGAATGCTAATAAGCCAAATGAAAGGCATCATGGGAACTATGGACTCAGACCAAGAAGGGCCTCAGGGGATGGATATCAAGTCAAACCTCCTCACTTTATATATAAGAAAACCGAGGCACAAACAGGCTAAGAGACTTGCTTAGGATCACAACACCAGTGTTAGCGGTGGGATTTGAACTTGGGTCTTCTTGACTCCAGTCCAGGCCACTTCTCTTAAAACACACTGGGCTTTCCTTTTTTCAAAGTGATACTGAGGAAAAGATGATAATCAAAAGGGGTATCAAATTGTTTACAAATGTGAATGCGATGGTAATATAGAAGGCAGTACTACTTAACCCTCACTTTCCTTCTGTCTTCTCTGCCCAGAATGATCATCTCCGGACTAGAAAAGGCTGAACATAAATGGTGACCTGGGAATTAGAACTCAAGATAATCGTGTGGTCATAAGAAGGTGAACTGCTGTTCTTGACTTCAAATCACCAAACTAAGATGAATGGTTTCCAAGGACACTGAATTGGCAGATAAGCCTACTGGGCCACTGTCAAGACTAGTGAAGAGCAAATGGCTCCATTTCCCAAAAAGGTAAAGACAGTGGAGTCTATGTATTAGAGGGCAGAAGGCTGACTATAGTCTACAGTTTCCATGTGACTGGTTGGGGATTAGAATTATTCTGCTTGGCTCCCAAAGACTGACTTAGGAGGAATCAAGGGACACTGCAAAGAAGCAAATTTCAGTTTGATGTAAAGAAAAACCTCCTAATTGTCAGAGCTATCCAAAAGTGGAATAATGAGTGCTCTGGAAAAAAAATGGCTCGCCTTTGCTCAAAGTCTTTGAGCAGTTAGTATGGTCTGGAGTAGACTGCCTCTGAGTCCCCTTCTTTTGTTTGTTTGGGTTTTTTTTTTATTAATTTACTTATTTTTAGTTTTTAACATTCACTTTCACAAGATTTTGAGTTCCAGTTTTTCTCCCCATCTTTTTTACTCTATTATCTTGGCCTGAATTCTCTTCTGAGATTTTGCAACCAGTTAAGACAGGGGATACAAGTTAGCTGGGTCTGAAGATTCATTTATGCATATATATGCTACCTAGTTCTTTTTAAAATTATGAGCATAACACTAAAAAAAATTTTGATACACAAAGTAGAACAGAAAAAAAAGTATTATACGTGAAACCACAAACCTCTATTATGCACACCTCACTTTGAAAAATTATACATATGTAACAAATTCAATATGCTACTTGAAAAGCTGTCTGGCTTATGTGTTTCCTTCTGTTCATTTAAAAATGCTTTTAATAATCTTCTTTTCTTTGGGAGGTAACATTACAGGTAGAAACACCCCCTCCCTCCCTGCCTGTCATTGCCTTCTGACCACTACCTACAATACTTCATCTTTTACTAGGTACTCTCTAATCTATAGGTTGTATGCATGATGTCCAGTTTATCTCCTATTTTAAAAAAAGCATGATGGATATGCGTATTTGATTTTAGGTTTGAGGTAAAAAAGGGAACTCAAGATTTTAAGTATTGGCAATGGAACGACAGTAAACATTATGTTTATGGGGACAGATGAATCTGAGTCACCAAATATAGAAGATATCTCCTGAAGAAAGGACTTAAAGTAGAAAGAAATTTAATTTTAAAAACTTTGACAAGATGGAGAAAATGAGAGCTAGCCATCAAAATATATGCCAAAGGAGACCAAGAAGAGGTACGTATTCTCTCCTGGGGAATGGTTCTAAGACTAGGAAGAAAAAAGAAAAGTGCAAAGGCAAAAAGCATGTAGGAAAAAAAAACAGAGAAATTCAAAATAACACCTCAGAAAAAAATCACACGAAGCTATCACTAGTAAATATTTATGGGGCTTCTAAAAACAGCAAGAACATTCTCTAAAATCTTGATTCACATTGACTGAGTATATCAAAGAAAACATGACCCTCCCTGAAGTCTTACAGAAAAGTTCCTCTGGGCCAGGGGCATCCTAATAATCATTCAGAAGAAACTGTTTTTAAACATTCCGGGTACTTTTAAGTAGCACATGCAGAATGACTAACGGAGGATGCCAGGTAGTGGTACATCAAGGTCTTGGGTGGAAAGTCAAAGACTTAGGTTGATGGTTGTAAGGTCAGATAACTGCAATCTACGTTGAAGCTGCTTGAAAAAAAAAGTTTCTTTGGAGAACCAATCTTTCTAAGAAGGGGACCAAATGACCAGGTTATCAGGCTGAAACATCCCAAACATTTCATGGTGCTTGCTGATAAGCACTCTTGAGCAAACCTGGAGCAGGCCTCAGGGGACTGAATCTCGGGCAGCTGTGGCGGCTTCCAGACCTCTCAACCCACAAACACCAAAGACAACTTAGAAGGTCAGTGGGAAAAGTCTGTTTCTGCTGTGCTGAGAGAGGAGCAGGTCAGAGCCAGCTCCAGAGCACAGAGTGTGGGCGCTAGGGCGGTGGCTATGTTCTCAGCTTCTGGCCCACACACTGAGGGGGAATCCAGTGGCTGATCAGAGGAGGATTGCAGGGATCTGTTTGCCTGTGCTGAGGTAGGAATCTCTTGCTTTGCCTGTGCTTGGATCTGGGTTATAGTTCTGGGCGGCGGCCCTGGGGCAAGGAAGAGCACTGGCATGGTGGAGCTTGTAGTGGCAGTGGAGAGAAAACCTTCTTCACAGTTCCAGGACTGAAAGGAGTGCTTGTGGTCACTAACAGACCACAGGACAGGCCAGAAAAGGAGTAAACACCTCGCCCCTTATCATACCACCTTGCAAGAACTGAAAATTTACAGGTCCCTACAAGTATCTCTGAAAACAGCTACACTAACCCCTGAAGCTTGGGACAGTACATTCTCCACATTGGAAGCAGACTCTTACCTTAACAAAGAGTTTAAAACTCAAGTAATTGGCTGGGATCATGAGCAAGCAGCACAAAAAGAGTCAGACTATATTATCTTACTTTGGTGACAAAGAAGATCAAAATATACAACCAGAAGAAGACAACAAAGTCAAAGCTCCTACATCCAAAGCCTCCAAGAAAAACATGAATCAGTCCTAGGCCTTGGAAGAGCTCAAAAGGGATTTTGAGAAGCAAGTAAGAGAAGTAGAGGAAAAACTGGGAAGAGAAATGAGAGTGATGCAAGAAAATCATGAAAACAAGTCAACAGCTTGCTAAAGGAGACCCAAAAAAATACTGAAGAAAATAACACCTTAAAAAATAGCCTAACCCAAATGGCAAAAGAGGTCCAAAAAGCCAATGAGGAGAAGAATGCCCTAAAAAGCAAAATTGGCCAAATGGAAAAGGAAGTCCAAAAGATTACTGAAGAAAATACTTCCTTAAAAATTAGAATAGAGCAATTGGAAGCTAGTGACTTTATGAGAAATCAAGACACTGTAAAACAAATCCAAAAGAATGAAAAATTAGAAAACAATGTGAAATATCTCATTGGAAAAACAACTGACCTGGAAAATAGATCCAGGAGAGAGAATTTAAAAATTATTGGACTATCTGAAAGCCATGATCAAAAAAAGAGCCTAGACATCATCTTTCAAGAAATTATCAAGGAAAACTGCCCTGATATTTTAGAACCAGAGGGCAAAATAGAAATTGAAAGAATCCACTGATCTCCTCCTGAAAGAGATCCCAAAGGAAAACTCCTAGGAATATTATAGCCAAATTCCAGAGTTCCCAGGTCAAGGAGAAAATATTACAAGCTACCAGGAAGAAACAATTCAAGTATTGTGGAAACACAATCAGGATAACACAAGATTTAGCAGCTTCTACATTAAAGGACTGCAGGGCATGGAATATAATATTCAGGAGGGCAAAGGAGATAGGATTACAACCAAGAATCACCTACCCAGCAAAACTGAGTATAATCCTTCAGGGAAATAGAGGACTTTTGAGCATTCTTGATGAAAAGACCAGAGCTGAATAGAAAATTTGACTTTCAAACACAAGACTCAAGTGGAACACGAAGAGGTAAACAGGAAAAAGAAATCGTAAGAGACTTATTAAGGTTGAACTGTTCACATTCCTGCATGGAAAGATGATATTTATAACTCATGAGACCTTTGTCAGCATTAGGGTAGATGGAGGGGAAAAAATATATGTATATGTGATAGATAGATAGATAGATAGATAGATAGATAGAGATAGATAGATAGATAGATAGATAGATAGGCACAGGGTGAGTTGAAGATTAAGGGGTCATATCTGGAGAATAAAATTAAGGGATGAGAGAGATTATACTAGAGAAGAAGAAAGGGAGAGGTAGAATGGGGTAAATTATCTCACAAAAAACAGAAAAGAAAAGGCTCTTACAGTGGAGGGGAGGGGAAGGTGAGAGGGAATGAGTGAATCTTATTCTCATAGGATTTGGCTTAAGGAGGGAATAACACACATTCAATTGGGTATGGAAATCTGTCTTACCCTACAGGAAAATAGGGGGAAGGGGACAAGAGAGCAGGGGATGATAGAGAGGAGGGCAGATTGGGAAAGGGGTAATCAGAAGCAAATACTTCTGAGGAGGGACAGGGTCAAAAGAAAGAATAGAATAAATGGGGGGGCAGGATAGGATTAAGGGAAATAGAGTTAGTTTTTCACAACATGTCTACTATGGAAGTGTTTTGCATAACTGCACATGTATAACCTATATTGAGTTGCTTGCCTTTTCAATGAGGGTGGGTGGGGAGGGAGGAAGGGAGAAAATTTGGAACTCAAAGTTTTAAAAACATATGTTTAAAAAAAAGTTTTCACATGCAACTGGGAAATAAGAAATACAGGAAATGGGGTACAGAAGTCTATCCTGCCCTACAGGAAAATAGAAGGGGAAGGGGATAAGAGAAGGGAGGGGGAGAGACAGAAGAGAGGCAGACTAGGGGAAGGGATTTCAGAATGCATGCCATCTTGGGGTGGGGGAGGGGAGATGGGTGAAAATTTGGAACTCAAAATCTTGTGGAAGTAAATGTTGAAAACTAAAAATAAATAAATTTATATTAAAAAAAAAAGTAAGTACTCTCCCACTTTTTAAACTTCCTCTTCCTAATCTTACTTCAAGTCCTAAAATCACACAGTAGGTCATTGGAAGCATCATTTACCCTAACATCTAGCAAATAATTTATAACTGATGCTAATCATATATAACTTTTATTTATTCATACAAGCAGTTCTTCCAAATATTTGTTAGAAAACATTTTGTTTGCTGAGTTCTATTACATGTACTTGAAAGGAATAAAATCATTTCTTTGAAAGTATTTTAAAACCAGTTTATATTGGCCTTTACTCCATTAGGTGAAATGTGTGAGGTTTGACTATATCCTAGAAGTCACATATTTATGTACTCACCAATGGCTTTTTAAAAAATATTTGTTGTACTTTATGAATAACGTATGCAGAAATGAATAACTATGGGTCTAAAAATATCTAAAGGAAAAAAATTTTCTCATCAAATTATTCAGGGACAAAATCTTACTTGATTTACTATTTCTTAGTTAACCTATCCACCGGAATGAATTTTGTTGCTCCTCCACACATACCTAATGAAGTAACTCACAGGCAAACTGTACTTCAACGGTGCTCATCCCAAAGAGAATTTCTTCTCTTAATACAGATTGCATTTTATTCATGCATTACCATCCTGTTATTCTTGTCTATAGTGATCCATCCTCCCTTCTCTCTCTGCCCCAGCTCCACAAAGCAGTGGCAAGGATGGGCACACTTACTTTTTCTGGTGTGAGGTGGTGCGACGAGTACAGAACACAGCAATGATCACTACTACCACAATGGTGAGGACGCCAATGGAGACGATGATGACCAAAAGCATGTTACTGTCCAGAGAGGAGGTAGGACTTCCGTGAGGACTGTTACTTCCTGAAGGGAGGAGAAAAAAGCACGTTGGTTAACATATGAGGGAATCTTGAACACAATCAGGACACTGAGGGACATTTCAAAGCCTATCAGAAAGTTTTCCTGCACTGTCCTACTTGAATAAATAGAGCCCCGCCTCTGGCATTTTAAAGCACATGGCTGATCTTACGGAACTTGTACCATCAATCAAGGCGTATTTTCACTGACTTTCAGAAGAACATAACGATAATAAGCTGCCAATGGCATTTCCCTAATACTCAGTGGCTAAGAAGACACTTAGCTCTGTTATCTTGCTTGGTCCTTGCCATCGCCCTGGGAGGGCTGTGTAAACATTATTCCCAGTTTACAGCTTTCACAGAATGCAGAGCTTGAGGACACCTAATGACAGGTGGTGGTCACAAGGCCCTCCTCAGTTCACTGATGATGACGTGGAAGCTCAGAGAAGTTACCCGAGGTCACTTACACAGTAAGGAACCTTACTTTGGGCTTTGACCCCAGGTCTTCTGACTTCAGGTCTGGTGCTCTTTCTGCCCCACCGGGCTGCCTATAATAATCATAATTTCAAAGACACATTTCCTTAAAAAATATCTTTCCCTCCCCCTACTCCCAATCCTCAAATAAACAAAATGTGGGCATTTCTTTCTGCTATGCAAAGGCAGTGTAGGACAGCAGACACCAAGCTGGCTTTGGAGTTGGGGAGACATGGGTCAAGTACTGATCTTCACTGGTGGAAGAGCTTCCTCACGGACAGTTCCCTCTACCAATTAAATCATAGGTTTGGACCAAAACACAAATGCAGACTGCAACTCCCACAAGCCTGCCCTTTTTCATAGCTCCTGACCATCTGCTACCATAAGTTTGCCAACAACGGACCCATCTAACACATTAGAATCATTTCTACAATTCTCTGGATATCTTGAAGGAATAAAACAAATAAGCATTTATTAAGTACCTACAACACGTTACACACTGTGATAAGTGCTTTACAAATATTATCTCATTTGAAGATATCAATGAAACACACAGACTATCTACTGGTTACCTTTTGCTCTCAGCCTAATTTCATCTGATTTCACTGTAAGAAACACTGCTTTTATCAAGTCATTCTCTCATGTTTATGACTTTGAGTCTGTACAGCTGGCACACCATTCCCTTGCTTCCCTTCGCATTGTTGGTAGAATCAGTCTTTATGCATAGAGATGATCATTCCATGTCTGTGCTCAAAACTCCTTAATGGTCTAACTTAGCCAAGTTCTTCCATTCACCTTAGTGTAAACTGACAGGGTCAGAATACAGGAGCAAGCTCAGTCACTCATGATGTGGACAAAATCTGATCTGAAAGCTTATCATCCCTGGGAGCAGAGGGGAGCTCCATGGCAAGCATGGTGGCCCAGGCTCTCAGCCTCTGCATGGATCTGCTCTCACTTTCCACAGCCAGATGCTCCTCAAATAAGTACAGGAGGCTCAACATCTCCGTCTCACTCTCTGGCCAGTTTTCTCTTCTCAGACCTAGTCACTGAACACACTGCACTGACTTCCAAAATTATGTTCTGCACCCGACCACTGCCTCTTCTTACACTGGTGCCACACCTAGGCTGCCTTCTAACTATCTCCAAATCACATCCATATGCCCCATGGCCACTTCCTAAAACTCCGAAGGTGCTGACTGTACTGCGGAACTATTATCACCAGCTCCCCCTCTAGATTCCTTCTTAGACCTGCAGCATTCCAAGGTCCTGGCAAATGGCTCCCTGCTGGCTGCTTAAATCACTTAGCTTGGCACTCCCCAGCTTAGCATCTTTAGTATTAGGTCATGTTGTGTACCTTCACGAACGCTGTTTTCACCAAATTACATTACTTACCATCTTGAATACATCCAGACATCTTCCACATTTGTGCCATTTGCCAAGACTAAGACATCACCCTCCCAATTTCTGTTGAATGGTGCCCCTTACTTCAGGGAAACGCTGCAACCCTCTCTCTAGGAAACTTTCCTTGATGTCTACCACAGAAATTCATTATTTTATTTCTTAGGACTTCACACAGTATTTTATGTACCTGCTACACACTCAGGTTATTAAAAACTTGTCGTATGAAATGTCTACACAGAAACACCTCAAATGTACGCAAGAATCCAAATGAACTACAGATCCTAAGGCTGAAAGAAACGTTTGGCCTCCTAGATACTGCTGAGACTTGGTGGGATGAAACCCATGATTAGAAGATGACTATGAAGGAGCAGACTTTATGCAAAAGAAACCCAATTCTCTAATGTTCAGGTGGGTCTGTGGCCTTGTCGGTCTGGGGGTTCCCTTCAATGCCCCTAATCCCGAAGCACCCGTGCATTCTGTGTGCCTCTTCTCTCTCTCCTTCCTTGAATGTATCACATATGCCGGGTGCCTTCTTGTGACATTTCAAGGACATGTGTGGAGCCCTCCCGCTGTACACTAACAGTCAGTCAATAGGCATTTATTAAGTCTTTACTATGTTCCATCCACTGTGTGAAGCACTGAGGAAGAAAGGAAAGGTGAAAAACATCTCTTCCCTCAAGGAGCTCACATTCAAATGAAGAACACAAACTGGGAAAGATGGGACTTTAAGGAAGCCTCAAGGTGGAGGTAAGATGACCTTGTTCCAGGCATAGAGATTAACCAGAGCAAAGGCATGGTGGCAGCAGATAAGGGGGTTCGGCTCCACAGCAGGACTGTAGAAGGCAGGGAGGGAAAGGAGGGGTCAGCAGAGTGAAAAGGTAGGAAGGAACAGAGTTGAGAAGTTTAAAAGGCCAGAGGGAGCACCTTCTATTTGATTAGGGGAAGGTGGGCGCAGGGTCACACACACCAGTGCCCTATGCAGGAGACCAGCTGGAAGGCTACTGTGATGGATGGTCTAGGCGACAGAGGTCATGAAGGCCTGAACCAGAGCTGCTGCTGTATGATGTATGGGGACACAACAAAGAGAAGCTGTAATGGCCTGGCTGTGTGGCATGAGCCTGAGGGACTGGGAGGCTGGCAAGGCCTCGACAAGAAGAGGGAAGTTCTGATTTGGACATATTGGGCATAAGACCCCTACAGAATGTCTGGTGTAAATTGTCCAAGGGGCAGATGGTGATGTGTGACTATCGCTCACAAGAACCCAGGGTAGCATCTGGGAATCATCTGCCTGTAAACAGAAGCTGGTGAGATCCCTGGAGGCCAAGTATTGAGCGGTTGGGACAGAGCCAGAGTAGGTCGGAGAAAGGAGGAATCACATGGTTAATGGGCACAGCATGGATGAAGAAGTGGACAGGAGACCAAGAAAGGAAGGTCAGGCAGAAGGACCAGGACAGGAAAGTGTCATGAAAACCCCGAGAGGAGAGAGAATCTGGGAGGAAAGAATCATCATCAGTGTCAAGAGGCAGCTAAGTAGTGCAGTGAAAAAGAGGGCTGGATCTGGAGTCAGAAAGACCTGAGTTCAAATCCAACCTCAGACACTCACTGGTAGTGTGACCCTAGGCAAGTCACTTCACCGCTATCTGCCATAGCTTCTTCAACTATAAAATGTGGATCACAATAGCCCCCATTTCAGATGGCTGTTGTAAAGATCACCTGAGTGTATAAAACACTTAGTACAATGCTTGGCACACCGTAGATGTTCCCTTCCCCTCTCAGAGACTGCAGAGAAGCCACAAAGGCCCCTCCACAGTGGCTTCTTTTTGGATCACCCCTTTCCCTCAACGCATCCTTTGCTCTTGTTGTCCTCTGAAGCTCCAGACCACCTGCCCTATTTCCAGTCTGCTCTTTCAGCCACAGTCCAGGGAGGCAAGCATTGTGGAGATGCAACTGAGCATCTGGACAGACACAAGAGATCTTGTTTGTGCAGGTCACATGACCTGGCCACAGACTGGATGTGGATATATAGGGTGAGTATGAGCCAGGAGGTGAGGATGACTTCAGGGTGGGAGCTGGACATGGGGACAGCAACAGTAAAGTTAGGAAGAAGGGGAAGGTAAGGAATTCTGTTTTGGATGGGCTGACTGAGATGCCTGTGGGATATCGAGTTTCATATATCCAAAAGGCACCTGTCCATGTAGGGATGGAGCCCACGACAAAGACAGCACTAAATATGCAGATGTGGGAACCATCTGTATTGAGATCCTCAAGCATTTCTGCGAGGATGCCACCATCTTTCCAATCCCTCAGATTTGTAACTGGGTGTCATCTTTAATTCTTTATTTTACCTTAACTCACCTATCCAAATTATCTGCTAATTCTCATCCATTTCCTCTACACTGCCTCTTGCATCTTTCCCCTTCTCTTCCCTCCCATGGCTGCCAACACTCCAGTTTGGGCCCTCACCCCCTACCAACATAGCCTCCTCCTTGCTTTCCCTGCCTCCAGTCTGTCCCTTTCTGATCCACTCTAAGCTCACCTGCCAAAATGAGCTTCCTAAACTCCATGTCAAATCATGGTGTGCTCCTGTCTAATCACCTCTAGTGATTCTCTCTTACTCCTAGGATCAAACACAAACTCTTCCACTTGTACCAGATCCCTTCACAACATGGCTCCCACCTTCTTCTCCAGCTTTACTGTACCCTAGTCCCCTTCACAGACTCTTGAGTCCAGTCCAATTGGCTTTTTTGCTGTCTCCACCCTCCATCTCCCCACAATAGTGCTACATATTCTCAGTCTTCGTCTGTCTGTTGACTGTCCCCCATTGGGGAATGCTTTGCCTTCTCCCTGCCGCATCTTGCAATTTCTGTTTTCCTCTAAGTCTCAAAATACCCCATGTTTTGCATGAGGCCTTTCCTGGGTCCCACGTGCTGACACCTTCCCTCACAAAGCCAACTTGTATATGTTTTGTACGTTTCCATTTATGTGAATGTTGCCTCCCTGATAGAATGTAAACTACAGGAGGGCAAGGACAGCTTAAATTCTGTCTTTATATTTCCAGCGCCTAGGGCACATACCAGGCAGCTAGGTACCTCAACGGATAGAGCACTGGGCTTGGAGTCAGGAAAGACTTGAGTTCAAATTTGACCTCACTCTTACTAGCTATGTGACCCTAGGGCAAGTCACTTAACCTCCTGGAGAAGGAAATGGCAAACCACTCCAGTATTTTTGCCAAGAAAACCCCATGGGCAGAGTGGTCTATGGGGTCATAAAAAGTCAGACATGGCTGAATGACTTAACCACAACATGGTACATAGTAGACACTGATTAGAAGCACATTGATTAAGTTTAGTTGTAGCCTCTTCCTAACTGAAATAAGGTCAGAGAAGCAGCTAGTGGTCCTGCATTGAACCAGACTAGGCACCGAGATCAACCTGTCAACTGTAATCAACCAGTCAAGAAGCCTTGGGTTAAGAGTAAATGCAGAATGCTTACAGGGCTCAATAACAAGATGTTACAATTAGAACTGGTAAAGTATATGCATGATGTTATTAGAGATAGCTCCTGAATTTGCCGTCTTCTCTCCTGTCAAAGAGGTATCCCTAATTTCAGGAATAGAAGATTCACGTTGGGGCAGCTACATGGCGCAGAGGATACAGCACCGGCCCTGAAGTCAGGAGTACCTGAGTTCAAATCCGGCCTCAGACCAAATACCTGACACTTACTAGCTGTGTGACCCTGGTCAAGTCACTTAACCCCGATCGCCTAAAAAGTAAAATAAAATAAAAAGATTCATGTTGTCTCAAACTGATCAAAGCATGGGTCCCCTGGAGGGTAGAAGGATTGAATTAAGCAGTTTTGACTGAATGCCTTGGAATGTAACTTATTATTAACATTCTAACTTTTGAAAAGTGGTACTGCTTAGCTGCACGGCCGTTGTCTTTGCCCATTGGTGCCTCAGCTGACCAGCACCACTGACCTGTGTAGAGCTACTACTAGGGCAGGCTTAGACCACCATGATGGGCTCTAAAGCAGGCTTTTTGGTCACGGACTACTTTGGCAGTCTGATGATGCCTATGGACCCCCTTTCCAAAATAATGTTCTTTTAAAAATTTTATCATAGCAGAAGTTAATGAAAATAAAGATCTATTTTCCTCCCATGCAAGTTCACAGAGCCCTTGAAATCTATCCATGAAGCCCTTAGAGGAGAGGCATTCATTGAGAGCCCTGCTATCAAAGGAGAGACAAAGGAAATGGGAGCTATTCTCTCAGAAGCATTCAATGTTTTATTATTATGTTATGGGGAAGACAGTACTGGGACACCACCAACTCTTAGGAAAACAGCATATTAAATACATTCTACCTGACAGGAGGGGCATGTTACAGTGGAAAGGACGCTAGTCTGAGTCCTGGCTCCATAAGTGCTGTGTGCACGTGAGAAGGTCATGGAACTTCTTCAAGCCTCCATTTCCTCATCCACAAAATGAGGATGAGATTTGCCCTGCCTAGCTTCTGAGGGCACTGGGATGACTATGGGAGATAACGTGTTTTAGACAAAGACATGATGTTACTGGGAGGCACCCTGGTAAAGAACACTGGACCGAAGCATCCCAGGACCTGGCTCTGAGTCACGAGTCCAAGGTCACAGAACTCATTAGTGGGAACACTGGAACGGGAACCCAGGCTTTCTATTTATGATCTTAACTTCATATTCATTCCTTGTCGGGGTAAGTTATCAAATGTTTTTGGACACGCCCCAGTCCAGAACTTCTACATGTACGGAGCACAAGAACAACAGGCCGCAGAATAGGCAGTTTCCTGATACTGAGCCCTTCTCTCGCCTGCTGATCTGAACTGGGGTGGGGACAGTCTTACCACTTATCGGAGGCTTGTAATCAGATCCTGAGTCTGGCAGCCTGCTTCCTTTTCCTGAAGACCCTGAAGCTGAAGAAGAAACCAGTCAGTAATCACTTATCAAGTCTGAATGCATCACATTCCACAGCCTGATGGCTGATGGGCTTCTAGGCTTATTTTTCACTTGAGGAACCAGGGAGTATAGAGGTGCACACAGACAGCAAGTGTATATTTTCTATGTAATGGGCATTATATAGGTATTACATGTGTGGCAAGGTGCTTACATGGAGTTCTATTACTCTGGCATCCAGAAGGAACTTTCTGGTACAGTTTGGGAGAAATTTTACATGACTGTCAAACATTCCATAAGGATTGTACAGGGAATGAGACAGTCCCTATAAGGAAAGAAGCTATTTAGTATAAAAAAAGAAGCCAGGTCATTACTTGGTTTTGTGTCTTAGTGCCTGTGACCCTCTTTTCTTGGGAAGAACAGTCTATGGGGCCTGTCAAAAAAAGGACAAGGTCCTTCCCCGTACCACCCCAATATCATATTAGTGGCACATTTCTTCAACTTGTCTAATACACTCTAAAATCAGATAAAAATTCTAACAAGTAAAGCAAAGGAAATCATTAGAAACGAATTCCTGGACTAATTCTGATTTTTACATGGTGTTACACTATAAAAGTTGTTATTCAGCACTTTACTACCCAACATTCCTGATATTACTAAATTAGTGTCTCAGAAACCAGTTAATAGTAGTGTTGACACACTTTGGAGGAGGCTTGATAAAAATGCAAAGGTAAAGGCTTCTCTGATAACAGCTCTCCCATGCATAATAAACCTAGAAGGAAAAGTAACATCCTCCCCCAAACATCACGTAGGCAGAAAGCAGCAGGCTTCAGAAGTAAGAAAGAACAGGTTTACAGAAAATCAAACAAACAGAAATGTAACAAGTTGGAACTCCTTCTGAAAGGCAGGAGGTAACTGGGAAATGTTTCTTAAAGAAATCCACCCTTGAGATTGACAGAAAAAGCTAACTCTGAATCACTTAGTAGAATAAATCTGAGAGACTCAATGTTTTCTATTAGATTAAAGCCAGAGTTTTGTAGCTTGAATGTAGAGAAAGATGATTTTTTTTTTAATTTTAGAGAAATGGGGGAAAGTATCCTAGTACTGGAAAACTCACTCCCTTTAGATTTCACTCTCCCGCTCAATCCTCCAGACCATCCTTAGGTTTGCTGTTCTGTTACTAAGACTAACAAAGCTATCTACCTCCCTGGGAGAGACTTCAAGAGTCAGAAATGTAAATGCATTTCTTCAGGACTCTAAGCTCTGAGTCTTTCTCACTTCTAACAGAAGCCTGAACATGTTCCTATTATTTCTTAATTTATTATCCTTTAAGCATGTTAGAGGGTAAACGGCTAAAATTCACTTTTTGTTCTCTCATAATAAATAACCACTAACTTAAAAAAAGAAACCTAATTAGTAAGAAAAGGATTGATTTAAATGCAGGCAGGCACTTTTGTGCTAATTATTCCAAAATTACTGAAAGGTGGGACTAAACTATCTGTTTCCCTTCAAAGCATTCTTGCCCTTGTTTTCAAAGTTATCAGATGTTGTAAGTGAAGAAGCTAAGAAACATAGCTTGGAATTGAACATATCCTGATGGAGCAGCAGCAGATTAACTTCATAGGTTCAAAGTAAACTTTAGGGAGGCTCATGCTTTAAGTTCTGGGACATTATGGATTTATGGAATCATACTCATAGAGCTAAAAGCAACCTCAGAGGCAACTAATCCAATCCCCCTCATTTTACAGATAAGTAAACTGAGACCCAGGGAGGTTACGTGATTTTCCTAAAGATATAGGTGCTGAGTGTCAAGAGGTGGGAGAAAGGAGGTGTGGTCTCATTCTCATGTCTGCAAACTCTTGTACCAAACGTACCACACTACAACCGTTCAGAACGCTGGTGGCAGCATCTGCTTCCACCCCTGACTGTGGCATCCTGTAGAAAGGAGAACCTCACCAAGTCTAAGTGCCAAACCTCTAGAGTAGTATGACTCCAATTTATTTTTTCATTATGCCCCCTCAATAGAGAGATCAGCATTTATTTTCCACACTTGGTCCATACATAGGATTTCCAGCTTCCTTGGTACTTGAAGAGCCCCAGTCTCAGCCCCAGTCTCAGCCCCAGCCCCAGACTCATCTCTCTCTGGATGAACAGGTGTGCACTTCCTTCACAAACATGCTGTATCTGGGAAAGGACAAGAAAGAGAGGACAGAGAGGCTCTTGGCTCAGTTACCTTGGTCATTAGGCATTTTGTCAGAAGAGTCCGCTGCCAGGCCAAGCACAGGGAAGAAAAACAAGAGCAAAGTCACGAGTGCGAAGGTGGGACAGATGGAGGACACGTGACAAAGAAGTGAAGCCCCAAGTTCGTGCTGCTCACCCCTGGTCCTGCACTCGTCAGCAAATACCAGAGTCTCCCCCACCTTCCCATCCCCTCAGAGACCCACCAACAAGGGCTTACATACTCAATCTCATTTTATCCTCATGACCATCCTGTGTGCTCAGTACTACAGATGTGGTCATCCTCATTTTACTGATAATGGAACAAGACCAGAGAGGTTAGGAGGTGGGATCATAATCATAAGGGTCAGAGACAGGATCCTAACTCAGGCTCCCTGAGGTAAACGATAGCCACGCCTTTGCTAAAATGGAACCATCCATCCCACATGCCACCAAAAGAATCAAATTTGCTGTGTAAACCTCGTGGTTTCAAATATGGCAAATGCGTCCCAGATCGGTGGAATGCAGAAGGTGGGCCCTGAGATGAAACTGGGACCTGGGAACCTAAGGAGGCCTGCCTGGGTTACCCAGGGGTGATGAGTCACACATGGCTGAGGACAAGGGGACTCACACACTTACTCCTGAGAGAGAAATAAAAAATAAACGGACACTGCCATCATCCTATTTTCTCCCCATCTTCTCCAATGGTGTCATCCTTGACTTTTCTGATTAAGAAGAGGGTCTTGCCATGCCCACGTGTCAAGGACAGGTTGGGGCACTGTACCTTTAGGTGTTCGGAACTGGACCGCTTCGGACATTGGCCCCATGCCCTTGGAGTTGCGGGCTTGGATTTTGAAGTAGTACGGTGTATCAAGGGTTAATTCCTGGATCTGGTGAGTCAGTCTGTTTCCAACCACTGGTTCAATAACCCAGTCATGAATCTCTGCATTCACATCTGTACTGTAGTAAATGATGTATCCTGCTCAAAGGATTTAGGGAGAGAAGAAATCTTTGGTGATTTTTCTCTACAGGTTAATAATTAGAGCTGGTATGTATACAGCACTGTAATAATGCATGCCAAGCACCTTACATACTCAATCTCATTTTATCCTCATGACCACCCTGTGTGCTCAGTACTACAGATGTGGTCATCCTCATTTTACTGATAATGGAACAAGACCAGAGAGGTTAGGAGGTGGGATCGTAATCATAAGGGTCAAAGACAGGATCCTAACTCAGGTCTTTCCTGACTTCAAATTCCATTCTCTTTCTACTGTTTCTCTACCTAGAGATGTAAATTTAAATATCTAAGAAAAAGAAAGGGAAAAGAAACAAACAAACTTAAACAAAATCAAAGCAAATAATGACTAAAAGGGAATCTCATGAATCTACTCAAATATAATTTGGAAAGCTAACAATAAAATAAATAAAACAAGAAATGTGGTCACCAGCTCAAGGTATCTTTTACCTTGTGAAAATATTCTTATAGGTAAGGATTATATACATATATATATATATATATATATATATATATATATATATATATATATATATATATATATATATATATATATATATGTATATATATATATAATGTCTCCCTTTAAGCAAAGAGCCACATGGCCACATTTCAGAAGTACTAAAAGAAAAATGTCTGGACTGGGTGAAACATCCAACTGGATTCAATTTAATTTAAAAAAAACTTCAAAAAAAATAGCCTACCATTTGCTAGGTACTAGGAATACTAAGATGAAAAAATGACGTAGTCCCTGCCTTCAGTGAGCTTTAAGTCTAGTAGGGAGAAAGACATTTTCACCAACAAATAAAATGCGAACTAGAACACTCGGAGGCAGATGAGCAATGTAAGAGGGAAGGATCTCTTCTAATGGAGGGAAATCAGGGAAGCCTGAGTCTGGTAGGAAGTCCAGATGGAGAGAGATAAAGCAGGATGGTCTGGACACATGCATGTAGGCAAGAAGGGCAAGAGGGGATCGAGGAATGACTGTCCTGTTTGGCTGAAAAATAAAATTGCAAAGAGTGTGGTGAGAAATAAAGCTGGAAGGGCAGGCTGGAGACAGACTGCAGAAGGTCTTAAACAGGTAAAGAAACTTGCATTTATTTTATTTAGGTAGAAAGCAAACAGGTATGATTATTTGAATCATTTAATAAGTTAAAAATCATTGAGAATTTCCCTATTTCACATCTTTTGGAAGGTAAGGTAAAGGACAGGAAAAGAAGAGGGCCCAGGGGTTTTTGCCATCATTTAATTTGCTCTTCCCCCCTTTTGATTTTCTAGGTAATTTCAAAGGCAATTTTGATGTCTTAGTCAATAAATTGAGGACAAGAAGTGGTGGAAGATGAGCCAAGGGAAGAGAGAGAAAGAAGAGCCACATTAGACCAGTTCTACTTTAAAATACCAAACTGGGGCTTTGTTGTTTAAAAAAGAAACAATGCAACTTTCCTTAAAACCAAAATTTATGGAAAACTCACACTAAAATCTGGCAATGGCCTAAAACACTAAAAAGAATTATGGCAAAATGCCAACTGAAGAGGGAGAAAATATCCACCAAACCTCGTCAGTAATCCAAGTTATCTTTCTTCCCTAGAGCTATGTGGTTAAATGTCCTCATTTATTTACTAATTCCACCAGAGGGCATTCAGCACACGTGTTCCAGCTGCACACAGAAATCTGGTCTTTTTCGTACCTGTTCTACCAGGGATTTCCTTCTGCTTCACTGAGTTCAAGCATTACAATGAGCACTTGATGAAGCACAATGGAAACAAAAGACTGCCAAGCTACAGCCACTTCCACACCAGAAAATGCAAATAAAAAACCAACACAAAAAGTACCACTTCGTCTCATTCTGGCTACAAATGACAGAAAGCCAGAGAAAGCCAGCACTTGGCTTACAGAAACCCAGGGCTGCCCTGCTCCTGAAAACAATAATCAATGGGCTCAAGGTCCCCTCTCCAGAACCACTTTTAAAAATGAATAAATGGGGGACGCTATATATTCCACAAGCCGGAGTGGAGGAGTGAGATGTTTTCGTGTATACCCTGTGAAGGAGAGAATCTTTGCTACATCTCAGAAATCAGGATGCCAGCTTTTCGTAGGCCACAAGTCTAGTTAAAGACGTGCAGTTTTAATGATGACTGCGAATGCAGAGTAATTAGAGGCAGAAGATTTTGGGAAAATAGTGAACTTAAAATCTGATCTGGTCTCCTGGGTCTAATCCTAAGTTCTGGAAGCCTAGTTTTTTAAAGGTGCTTCTCTGAAGAATGAGGGTTCCATTACTATTTTACACGAAGAACACTAATGGGAATTCAGAAATTGGTCCACATGGATCAACAGTGTGACAAGGGACCAAGATTTGGGATGAAGCGAATATAGTCGTACTTTATTAAGCTTCTCTAACCCTAGAGAGGGTTAATCTACCAATCTTCGGAAATTCTTAGGGCAGGCTATATTAATTTGGGAGTGAGAGCCACTCAATTAACCCACTATATCTATTTACCTCCGGATCACCCCACCAGGCCTGACACCATGCTATGCATCCCCTCCAGCTGCCCATCTTGACATCTACATCATAAGCTCCTATCCAACTATTGCTTAGGAATTAAATCAATACTACCATGTTGCCAGTGTATTTGGAAAAGTAGTGTCAACTGTTTACCCAGTCAATCAACTCATTATCCTAATGACTTCTCAGATAGTCCATTCCCTGGCTACCACCACCACATATCCATGGCCTCCCTCCTTTAGAAGATCGACTCCAGCAATAATCGTGCTTTTTTTGTTTATATACCACAATTTAGCTTAGAACGTGGCACTGACTTAGGCTTGATAAATGCTTTTTCATTCATTTACTCATCAACATCATCTGAATGCTAGGCAGACTGAGTTCCCTTACCGGATGGAGGAAGGAGGCATTTTCATACGGGTTTTGGCTTATGAAATAGGATTTGGGCATTTAGTCCAACATGTTCATTTTACAGATGGAGAAAGGAGGACTACAGAGCCTGGGTGGCCCAAAACCATAAAGGTATCAGAAGCAGAGGCGGGATCTGAGGTCAGGTCCTTCAAATCCAAGTCAAGAAACATTTAACAGGAATAAAAAGAAAAGCACCTAATAGTTCCAGACAAGATGTACGCAGGATCAGCTGGAGGCAATCCAAGTGGGAAGGCACAAGTACTAAGGGCGATCAGAAATGACTTCTTGAAGAAAGGTGAGACTCTGGCTGAGACTGCAAGGAAGCCAGAGAGGCCAAGAGGGACAGAGAAGGAGGGAGAGAAATTCAGGCACGAGGGACAGGCAGTAGAAATGTGCAGTCTGGAAATGGAGTATTTTGTGCAAAGAACAGCCCAGAGGCCAGAATCAATGGAATGTAGAGAATGTGGAAGGGACTAAGGTAAGAAGACTGGAATAGCAGGAAGGAGCCAAACAGGGTTTTATATTTGATCCTGGAGGCAACAGGGAGCTACTGCAGGTAAGTGGATAGGGTGGGATATGGGCATGCGTGTGTGTTTGTGTGTGCGTGTGTGTGTGTGTGTGTGTGTGTGTGTGTGTGTGTGTGTGTGTGAGAGAGAGAGAGAGAGAGAGAGAGAGAGAGAGAGAGAGAGAGAAAAGAAGAAGAGAGGAGAGAAAAGAAGAGGATATATATACACACACACACATAGAAGGAAAAGAAGAGGAGGAGGAAAGAGAGAAGAGGAAGAAGAAAAAGAGGAGGAAGACAGAAGGATATATATATATATATATATATGTGTATACATATGTGTGTGTATATACATAAAATAGAGACAGAGAGAGGACGAGGAAGAAGAGGAAGAGGAGGAGGAGGAAGAGAGAAGACAGAGAGAGAGAGCGAGTAAGAGGAAAGAAAAGAAAGAGTGCCAGACCTGCAATTTGACAGTTGAGTGGGGAGAGGTTTGAGGCAAGGAGAGTGACTAGCAAAAAACTGCAAAAGTCTAGACATGAGGGGGTCAACACCCACATGAGGATGACAGCAACACAAGAGAAGAGAAGGAGATATAGACAAGAGATGTCACAAATGCAGAACTGATGGGACATGACAAATGACTGAGCCTGGGTGGTGAAAGAGAGTGAAGTACTGAGGATGTTCTGGGTGACTGGGACGATGGTGGTGCCCTTGAGAGTATTAAGAAAGTTAGGGAAAGGGGAGAATTTTGGGTGAAAGATAATGAGTTCAGTTTTGGACATGTGGAGTTCAAGGTATCTGCAGGACAATCAGTTCAAGATGCCAAATAGGCAGTGGGGACTGGAGGTCAACAGAGCTGAGAATTGTTCGTATAAAGATCATAATGGAACCCCTGCTAACTGATGAGATAAAGTGAAAGAATGTTGAGGAGAAGAGAGGGTCAAGATTAGATAATGACACAGCAAAGGAGAATGAGAAGCAGTGGTCAGACAGGTAGGAACAAACCAGGAAAGGGCAGGAGAGTCACAAAAACCTAGGGAGAAGAGGGTATCCAGTGTCAAAGACTGGAGAGAGGTCAAGAAGGAGGAAAACAGAGAAGTGGCCATTAGATTTCACAATTGAGAGATCACTAGAAGATGACTAGGGAATGGCAGTGGATGGAGCACTGGGCCTGGAGTCAGAAAGACCCAAATTCAAATCTGGCCTCAGACACTTAACAGCTGTGTGACTCTATTCAGGTCACTTAGCCTCTGTCTCAGCTTCCTCAAATGTAAAATGGGGACAATCGTACCTACCTCACAGGACTGCCATAAGGGTCAGATGAGATAATATTTGTAAATACTTAGCACAATGCCTGGCACACAGTAGGTGCTTAATAAGATGCTTGTTCCTTCCTCTCCTCTCTCCATCTTTCTTAGTAACTTTTAGAGAGAGAAGTTTCAGTTAAATGATGAGGTAAGAAGTCAGAGAATTAAGAGAGTGAGAAGTTAGGAGGGGAAGCCACCTATTATAGATGACCTTCTCAAGGAGATTAGCCACAAAAGGGAGGAGAGACGTAGGACGATAACTAATGGGAATGGATTCATCAAGGGAAGGTTTTTTGAGGATGGGGGAGATATGGGCATATCTATAGGCAGTAGGGAAGTAGCCAGCAAACAGGCAGAGACTGAAAATGACTGAGTGGGAATGATTAAGACAGCAGTCTGCTGGAGGGGGGCACATGGGGGGTTTGCCTTGGGGAGCACAAGGGCCACCGGTGCACATGAGACAGAGGCAAAGAAGGAGAGAGTGGCAGAAAGCATCTGAATGATGTGAAGTGAGAAAAGGGGGAGAACAGGGAGTTTTACATGAGCAGAGAAGGTAAAGGGAGGGGGAGTTATGGGAGATTTGAGGAGGGATGACACAACTGGAAAATCTGCTGTGGTGAGTATGGAGGTGTAAGAAGACTGCTTTGCTGCAGAGAGGGCTCGGTTGAGATTATGTAGCAAAAACTGGTAGTCATCATGGTTGTGATTCTTTCCAGCTTCATTCACTAGAACATGAATAGGAGGAGAAGCAACACATGATGGGAGGAATCCAAAGCTGAGGCCTGGCAGGGGAAGAATGGCAAGAGGGCAAGGAGGCAAAGGATTCGACAAGAGAGGACAGCATAGAGCTAAGCTGGCTTACTGAGGGGTCAAGGCGAGGAAAGGATGAGAGTAGAGCCAGTGTCTGGGTGATAGCCTGGGAAAAGGCTGAGGGATTGTAAGTCACAGTGTGGATGAGGAAGAATACTAGGGATTGTGAGGAGGGAGAAATGGAGTGACAGGGTACGATTAGAGGAGAGCATTTCAGAGTTGATGAACATGGAAGTGGAGAAGTTGAGGGTAACGGCCAGATTAAGCATATGGCCATCTCGAGCAGGCAGTCTTCAGAAAAATCTGCAAAGACTTAAATGAACTGATGTTGAGGGAAGCGAGCAGAACCACGGGAACACCGTACACAGGAAAATCCACAATGGGTGATGACTAATTTTGACAGACTCATCTCTCAGCAATTCAAGGATCCAAGACAACTCCAAAGGACTCGTGATGGAAAATGCTGTCCACACCCAGAAAAAGAACTATGGAGTCTGAATGCAGATCGAAACACATTATTTGATCTCTCTTTTTTTCCCTTTGTTTCTTCTTTCTCATGGTTTCTCCCATTGGTTCTAATTCTTCTTTGCACTCATAGTTTCTCCAATTGGTTCTAATTTTTCTTTACAACATGACTAATGTTAAAATAGGTTCAATATGAATATATATGTAGCGCCTGTATCAGACTGCATGCCATCTTGGGGTGGGGGGAGGGGAGAAATGGGGAGAAAATTTGGAACTCAAAATCTTATGGAAGTGAATGAACTCTCTTTGTGAAGAAGAAGTAGATCATGGAAATGAGGGACAGCCTGGAAGCAGAAATGGGGAGCAAGGAGTATTACAACTCTACATAAAACCAGTGAGTTGGGGGGCATAAGTGAAATGCAACCAGTGCTGGAAAGGTTGGCCAGGGAAGGTGTGTCATTGGGAGGGAACCAGGATTCAATGAGTGTAAGAAGATGGAAGACATAAGAAAGAAAAAAGGTTTAAGATGAAAGCAAATTTGTTGCCTATGCAGCAGGCATTCCAGAGCACATAGAGGAAGGATAGGTAACTTTAGAGTGGGACTTTTTGTTGGGTTGAAGGGAATGGGAATGATGGAGTGGCTGATGGGAAGTAGAGAAAGAGGTCTGAGCAATGACAGCTGGGAGTTCAGAACTACTGGAATGAGAAGGGCATGACAAGATGGGAGCGTATAATCACTGAGGAATGAGTTCCACTCGGCTGTCATTGTCCTGAAGGATTTAGTTTCAGAGTGGAGTCTTCTAGGGGAATGCCACACAGTGTGTGTAGCTGCACAGGGGTGAGTGTGGGTGGAGGTTGGAAAGTGCCAGAAAGGCAAGCCTGCCCAGAGAGGATGAGACCTTCCTCTCCTTCCCATGCAGCCTGCTTTCCATCCCACCATGCTACCTCCCCCAAAGTCTTCTATAATCAAATTCTTGTACCTGCTTTGTTCTCTCCCACTCCACCTCCCCCAAACCCCTTATTCCTTTTCAATGCGTTTTTCAGAATATCCCATAGTATTTTCAATAGAACAATTCCAGAATGTTTTATCACCCTCAAGTGTCAGGCATTTAATAACTAAAGGAAAGATGAGGGAATACGGGAAGCTATGGCAAACTCCTGCAAACACTAAGTACTCCAACCATTTTTTCTTTGCTTTCATGAAGACAACAATTTAGCCCAACAGCTGTATTGTATGTTACATTCTCATATGATAAGCCTTAGGATATTCTAGGTCACTTCAAGTGTGAGACCACAGAGCAGCTCTACCAAACTGAGTGTAACAGTTGGAAACTTTTTGTAGAGTTCAGTATTTTCCTTCACATTTTCATCAACCCATCTCTTACTACAGCCTATTTTTCAGATGGAATATAGAGTCAATTTTAGATACAGCGAAAAGGAGGCAGATCCAGGAGAATGTTGTACACAGCAACAGCAATATTGTAAAGAAGACCAACTGGTAAAGATTTCGCTACTCTGATCAATACAGTGCTCCAAGACAATTCCAAAAGACCCATGATGAAAAATGCCATCTACTTCCAGAAAGAAAAAACTGATGAACTCTGAATGAAGACTGAAGCATACTTTTTAAACTTTATTTTTCTTGCTTTTTTTTTTTGATCTGTGTTTTCTTTTCTAACACGGCTAATATAAAATTATGTTTTGCATGACTTCACATAAACTGCTTGCCTTTTCAAGAGAGGCAGAGAGGGAGAGCTCTGAGGAAAAGAATTTGAAATTCAGAATTTTAAAAAATGAATGTTGAAATTTTTTAAACATGTAATTGGGAAATATTTAATGAAATACATATTAAATAAAATATAAAATATATCTAATATATTATATAATTATACATACACATGTATATATATATATATATGTATATGTATACAGAGAGGCAGTGAGAGAAAATTCCTAACTCACTGCCATGATCCTTTTTATATGCTTACCAAGTGGCAATACATTTATTATGCCTCTGCTAGAATCCCAGGGGTGAATGGAATTGTCCCCTAGTCAGTACTAAACTCAGGATCTCTGAGGCTGAGCCCCTCACACCCACCCCCAAGCTCTGAAAAGCACCGTACCTGTAACTTTGCCATTAGCTTCTGAAGGAGGTTGCCAGTTCACTATTATGGTTCTCGGTTTTCCCTCTTTACTCACTACTGTCACATCTTTGGGTGGAGAAGTAGGAACTAGAAAGAAAAATACATTCACTTGATTCACAAAAATATCTTTCAGTGATTTCCTCTAAAAATGTCCGTATGTTGAGTTGGTAGCATATCAGAAAGGACAGTGACCTGGAATCCAACTGAGTCCTGGTTCTACCACATACTACAGCTGTGTGACCCTGATCAAGTCCCTTCACCCTGTCTGTCTCCATTGCCTCATCTGTAAAATGAGCTAGAGAAGGAAACAACAAACCATTTCAGTATCTTTGCCAAGAAAACCCCAAATGAGGACACAAAGTATCAGATACGACGGAAAACCAACTGAATCTACCACCTACTAGCTATGTGATTATGGGGAAATCTCAGCATCTTTTGAACCTCAGGTTTTTCAGTTATAGAATGGAAACAAGAAGATGACCTGCACTACCCACTCCGCAGGGCTACTGTGAGGAAAGCATTTTAATCATAAAGGGGATCTGCAGATCACAAGAGGAGTACTGGATTTGGAGTCCTGGGATGCGGGTTCAAATTTCAGCTGTCATTTACTATCTATGTGTCCCTGGGCAAAGGGAGTTTCTTTTCTGGGCTCCAATTCCATCCACTATTCCAAAAAAAAAAAAAAAAAGGAGGCTGGATTAGATTATCTTCATGGTCCCTTCCATCTCTAAATCTCATGACCATGAAGACTTCAGACACGCAATCTAAGACAGCTCTCCTCTTCTAAAATAACTGTCAGATAGGCCCAGGTATCTGATCTTTACACAGTGCTTCAAGGTTTACAAAATGTTTTACAAACATGATTTTGTTTACTCTTCTGAAGAACTCAATTAGGTAAGTACTGCCAACATTACCTCTATTTTACATTAAAGAGCTGAGGCTGGGAGAGGCTGAGACTCGCCTAAAATCACACAGCTATGCATTCCAGGTCCCAGGCTGTTACACAATGCCTCTTCTCAAGGAGACAGACACATAGAACTAATTATCAAATTCTTAATTCAAAAGCCCTCTCCTTTCAATTCTAACTACTTTGTCAGGATGCTCTATATGTCAAAAAGTTCTCTTTAACTCAACACAGGTACCACACCAAGAGAAGACTGTCATTAGTCTCTCAATGAATACATTCGTTTGAAATGGAAGGTTTTTTTCTCTCTTACTGTTACTGCTTTTAAAAGAAGAACTCTGTGGAATAGAGAAACCATAAAATTTAAATGACTGTGCAGCACGTGTATGCACAAAGGGAAGAGCAATTAGAAAGTTAATGAATTATGCTTTACCCTCCCCTTTCCAAACACAAATTATTCTTTTGTAAAAGCATTTGCTTTGGGTGAAATAGGACTATGAAATTTAAGCACACTTCTAACAATACAAACATTTCCATTTGCTATTGGGTTGTAATCAAAGTAACAGGCTTTCTTAAGCCTTAGGAAAAGAAATGTAAACTTCAACAATTTATGAATTCATTTCATCATACTTCCCTCCTCTCAAGAAAAAGCCTCAATGAATTTTATGGAAAGTAACAAATGCAGTATTTTATGGTTGTTTTTAAAGAACAAACCTGTCAATCATATCCCAGTAGGGAGAGAAGGAAACAATGATCTCATACAGACTGAATCACCTGGTTAAAGCACATGCCTGAGAACATAACATGGAAGGACTTGAGGGGTAACCAACTAACAAATGACCACAGGAATAATGGAACAATGGAACTACAGACTAAAGTCCCGTTCCTCAATATCTTTACTGAGTTATTTGTCTCAAGCCCATCAAAAAACACCCTAAGGACGCCTTTAAGTGAAACCTTTTAAGAAGCCACATGATTCCTTAACCAGCAGCAGGGCAGAGGTAAATAGCCAAGTCACACCACCCTGGGATATGCCCTCCCATCCACGTGTCAAAAAAGATCTGACAGAAAGAGAAAGGTACTAAGTCAGTGAGTCTATTTCTATTGCAAGTATTGCACCAGCTCCTTCTTGGTCAAGTGTAAATTATTTAACCTTTTTGTCTCCAGTAATTTTTCCTCTTATAAAGAGGCACTGATAAAATTAACTGGCTGATTATTCAAATTACTTATGATAAAAAAAAAAAACAGTGCTGGAAAGCTGGTGCGGCTCTTACCCTTTCTCCCACGTGATGAAGAAGGGGAGGAGGGAGCAGAAAAAATGAGCCATGAAATGCTGCAGACCCTTACCGAGCTCAAAGGTGGTCCCGTGAGCGGTCATACTCCATGTGCTTGACCTCCGACCTTTAGTCACCATCACAGAGAACTCATAGAGGGTGTTAGGTTTTAGCCCGGTTACTAAATAACTCAAAGTCGTTGCATTTGCAGTCTGGAGAAAAGGGTCACACAGAATTTTAGTAGCAGAAAACAGTAGCATTCACCACACGAATATGAGCTGAATAAAAACACTCATCTTTCCACTGATAATGTAAGTGACCATTGGTCTGATTAGTTTTTTCTCTGATTGCAGTTGGAGCTTTTCATCTTTCCTAATGAAAGATGAACCTATGTGAGAGTCTTAGGCAAGTCCCACTACCCCCTCAGAACTGCTGTTTTATCTCTGATGTTGGGAAGTTAGAGGGCTGGGCTAGGTGACAGCCAAGTTCCTTTCTAGCTCTAAATCTTATGATCCTAAATGGAACTTTGGTCACCGGGAATTTATGCTTCCTAGGGGGTATGATATTTTTGCATTTAATAGGAGCTATTACTATTAACATTGTTAATTGAATAATTAAACATTAAACCAACAAAGTAATATTAATAAAATTAATAGTCCATTAGATTGTGAGGTCCTTAAAGGCAAGGATTGTCTTTTGCCTCTTTCTGTAATCCCTGTGCAAACATTTATATAGCACTTATTCTGTGTCAGGCACTGCGCCAAGCACTTCAAACATGATCTCTGATCCTCACCACACCCCTGGGAGGTAGGTGCTATTATTACCCCCATTTTACAGTTGAGAAAACTGAGGTTGTGATTCGCTCACGGTCATATGGCTAGGAAGTGCCTGAAGCTGGTTTTGATCTCAGGTCTTCCTGACTGCAGGCCTGGCACTCTAACTACCATATCACCTACCTGCCCCTAACTGAATCTTCCTTACTGACTAGCTTAAGATATAGATATGGAAATTCTGTGTCCTGTGATTAATCTCTGGCAATTTTTTTTTATGACTGAAAGAGAAAGAGACAGAATTTAATCAGGAGAAATGAATAAATGAGTAATTATCAAATATTTACTCAGCCTCTTTTAGCTAAGTATGATGCCAAAGCTATGAGAGACAAAAAAGAGAAATAAGATATGGTCCCTTTCAATCTAATTGGGGAATAGGGCGAATAAATGAACAAATAACTGCAATACAAGGCAGTTTACAGGAAATGTAGAGAACCTTTCTATTTGGAGTGATTATTGACAGTTTCAGAGGGAGGTGGGATTTGGAAAGGTTGGAGTAGGGGGTAAGTAGGGTCTTTCAAATGGTGTTAAGATATTCGTGGGGACAAGGGGGCAGGATGGTAAAGAAAACAGCATGATTTTGTAGTGGAGAGATAGGAGCTAGAAACATAGGCCAGGGCTAGATTAGAGAGAGCCTCCAATGCCAGGCTAAGGAGTTTCATTACATAGGCCTTGAAGAGCCGTTGAGGATTTTTTGGTAGGGGAAAGACAGGATCCTAACTGTGTTCTGGCTGTGATTAAAGGTTCAGTGTTGTCAGAGGTGTCAAACACGTGATCTGCAGGCCACATGTAGCCTACAACACTCTCAGAGTGTCCTGAACCAGATTTTTTACTTTGTAATTAGGAAATACTTAACAAAATAAATAAAAATACAGTGAAATATATATTATTACATTTTAAAACTGTCAATGTGTGGCCTGCAGATATCCTTGGATATGGTGCAGTAGTCCCCATTTCTATTCATCTGGTCTGACACTACTGTTGTGCAGGACCTATCAGAGCTGGGATGCGACGGACAGCAATCCTGACAGTCACAGCAAGCAGTAAATCGTGTACGTATTGACTGAAGGCAGAGGCAATGGGAACCCAAATGAAGGAAAGACTGTTAAGAGAAAAAAGCTGGGGAGGCCCTAACACTATGAGACAGCATTAAGGCAGCTCGGTGGCGCAGCAGATAGAGCACCGGGCCTGGCGTTCAGAAGATTTTAGTTCAAATTTAACCTCAGACACTTGCCAGTTATGAGACCCTGGCTAAGAGGGTCCCTTCTAACTATCAAAATTCTGTGATTCTGTGACAATGTGGACCTACGCTCTTTCCAGACTGATTCTATATCACATGCCTCACCTACTCGATGCCATCCTTGGTATGGGATACTCCATCTCTAGCCACCATCCACCGCATAGCCTGCTCTCCCTTCTTATCTCCTCGTCATTTTAAGTCTCAGCTCAAGCGCCAGCCCCTTTAAGAGGCCTTTCTAGCTTCCTCCATTTGTTAGTGCCTCCCCCCCACCCATTACTGGTAACTTATGTTATATCTAATTCCCTATTTACTTATCTGTAAAAATGTCCCCAGTAGAATGTAAACTCTTTGAGGGCTGGGAATGTCTCCCTTTTGTATTTACATCTTCAGTGTCTACAACTGCCTGGAGATAAAAATCGTTAACTGTAATCAGCAGCTACAGGGACTAGATCTTATTTACCTTTACAGCCCAATGATCTCTAGTACACAGTGGCATCAAATAAATCTTTGTTAAATTATTGTTTAAGTTTTTTTGGTTGTGTCCCCAAAATATTAATGTCACTAGTTCATATTTGCATAATGAACTAGGTTATAAGCACTTCAAAAATAACCATGAACTCATTTGATGTAACAACCTATGAGTTAGGTTAGCACAGGCTTTCTTGTCTCAAGGATGTGGGGAGGTCACACGGGCTGTTATGTGGCAGCCTAGGTTGGAGCCGCTGGCTTCTGAGAACAGGGTACTTTCCACTAGACCTTGCCTCCTCTTCTGTAGAACCCCACTGCCAGAGGCTGCACTTTCTCTTGGCTGGAAAGCTCCTAAGAGATTCCTATCATTGACATCACCCTCCCTAACTTCTTCCACTTTCATCAGTGTATCTAACACAGCTGGCATCCCTTCTCCAAGAAAGACCGACTCCAACCTTCGATGCCACCCTATGTCCTAGTCCCTTCTACTTTAACCCATGGATTCTCTCCTCAGCAAGAGTCCTCCTGCTGCCTGGGCCTGTGAACAGTGGCAGACACCTGGGAAGACAACTGGCACACAATGTCGCAGAGCTTTCAATACTTCAGAGCTACCGTGCACTCAGCTCTGTACAAGGGATGGCCACTGAGTATCCTCAGAATACTGAGATGCCAAGTTGGCCCAGAGTTTGGAATTCCAACACAAACCTTTGTAGGATGTCAATAGAAGGTAGGATTTGGGAGGCATCAAAAAGGTCAATCCTAATTAAAGCCACTGCTGGAGTAAGTTGTTAAAAGGAAAGTCAAGGATCAATGAGAAGGGTATCACTTAAAACGAATTTGCTCTAGAAGTTATCATCTTTTAAGATCAAGTTATAGCTTTTTAAAAAAAAAATTCAAAATACATTGTATTGATATCTTTTTTCCTCTACATCCTGCTCTTTTTTGGTTTTAAAAAAGAAATCCCAAACATTAACAAAAGCAAATAAACAAAACTTCCTTCCACCCTATAACAAAGAGAAACAATTAAGTAAAAACATCTGATATTATGACAACATCTGAACACTGCCCTGGTGGTCCTCCACCTCCCAAGGAAGGGCCCTCGTACACATTTTGGTCCAACCAAGTCCTGAAGTCAGATGACTCACTGAGGCTCACACAGAAGAGCCACTAAAAGGTTTGAGCTCTGATCCTTCAACTCCAAATCCAGTGTTTTCTCTACCATGTGACTTCCTGTTTAAATATAACTAATTTAATAAATCTTTTTTGTTTTTGATCCCTATGGTCAGTGAAATTCATGGTTAAAATCTAGCCTTCAGGACTATGTGATGAAAGCCTCCTGCCACTGGGTGGTAGTAAAACCATTTGCAGAAAAACTGTCTAAGGATAACACCATTCTCTTAAACAGTTTAAATATAAAACTTAAAGATACAAAGTGCCAATAAACATCATATCTTTATAACTCAAGAAAACGCAAAGTGGAAAATTCCACAAATATAATAGTTTATATTGTTATCCAACTTCTCCAGTTGAGAAATATCACTATCAATGAACAACAATAAAGATAACGATGGTGATAACAGTAAGAATAATAGCTAGCAGTATACAGTACCTCCTATGTACCTGGCACTGTGCTAAATGCTTTACAAATATTATCTCTTCTGATTCTCACAACAACTCTGAGAGGTAGGTGCTATTATTATTCCCATTATAGCTTAGGAAACTGAGGCAAACTGAGGTTGAGTGACCTGCCCAAGGTCACACAGCTAATTAGTGTCTGGGGCCAGATTTGAACTTGGGTCTTTCTGACTGCAGGCCCAGAGCTCTACACCCTGCACCACCAAGCTGCCTATAACTGGAGACATTTTTCTTCTATCTGAAAAAATAAGAATAAATGCTGTTTTACATACTTTTTAATTGACTTCTTGCATCCCTGGCAAACACTTTTATGTACCTGCTGTCTCAAAAACCAGGCCCTTCTCTTACCAGCCACGATTCAGGGTATCTACTATAACCTCCGCCTCTGCCATCTGCACTGGTAGCTCATTAACAGCCACTCAGAAAGGCAGTTCCAATCCATTCATCGATACGAGAAAAGGCTACATTCTTCTTGCCCCTAAATTTGATTTCTATAACACTTGAGAACAGCTTAAGCTTTTGTTTTTAGATGAAGCACAAGTTAAGTGAAGACTTTTCCAGTAAATCTCTGTTTCTTCCTGCCCCCCCGGTGTTCCGTATACGTATGTCCATATATACGTACAACAGGGATTTTATGCCATTGCTTTTCAATGTACACTTTTTTTAAACCTTTCAAAAAAATTTCATTTTGAGAACGTGGCCTATATAGTTGGAACAATGCGATCCAACTATTTATCTTCATAAAGTCTGTTTTAATTTCACGCCACCATTCTTGCTGAATGAGAAGCAACATGGGACAGTGGAAAAACATCTGACTGGGAGTAAGCAGAGGCTTGGCACCAGCTGTTATTAAATAGCAATCTGATGTTGGCCAAGTAACTTAACCTCTCTGGTCCTCAGTTTCCTTCTCAATAAATTAGAGGGAGGGGACCAGACTAGAGAATCACATACTCAAGTTCCATGATCTGAATGGCTCACACTCTAAGAAAATATTTGGGAAAACATTACTCTTTCATATGCAGATAAGGCAATTAGAGTGCTATTGATATTTCCTCTATTCTCTCCACTAAGTTCACTCTCACTCTTGTGACCCCTTAGTTTTCATCACAAATGATCAGATGTTAATAAAACATCCATCACATCTGTTTTCCAATGACTGATGTCCCACAGAAGATTCCATTCACTGTGTTAAATTTTCCTCCCCTCTTCAACAGCAGCTACCATTTCAGCAATCCTGCTGAAAGCAGGAGAATGACACTCTCAAGTATAACACTTTCAGGGGAAACCGGAAGAATGGAGCTGTGGCGTGGGGGTCTCCCAAACTCCAATCACAGAACTGCTCTATCTCCCTCGTCTCTGAACTGTTATATGCAGTGTAGCCGTTCATACCTTGTACTTGGTGTTAGCAGGGATATTGGTTTTCCATCGGACAGTGTAGTACCGCGAGTCTGTGATCTTCTGGTGCTTTGGCAGGGAGTTGTCTGCCCATGTAATCCGTATGGTGTCATGGCTCAGTATGGAAGCCTGAACTCCCACCGGCGGCATCATGGGGGTGGGATCTGGCACTGGAGTGTATGGAGCATTAACAACAAATAAATCAACCTCAGAAGTATCTAGGGGATTGATGGGCAAAAGAGCAGTGCATTTTAATTTTTAAAAAAAAGTGGCATTTAAAGGTAAACAAAAATAAAACAAAATAAAAAGGAAATGTAGGGTAATATAATGAAATGAAATGGAGAAAGAGAAAGAAAGAATCCAGGGTTAATCAATAATATACAATTAACTTTTAACCTCCCCCCCCCAAACTGTTCTTCAAGGCACAAAAACATGCAGAGAAATAAGCTCAGCGCTCGACAACACGTCATACATAAGTGTACTAGAATGTTCTAACGTACCAAGATGTTAGTTAAAACGCCCTGTCCAGTTTTTCTTCTAATAAAGAAATGACTATTCCAGTGAATGTTGCTGACCTCTCAGGATTTCAGAGTGTCATGATGTACCCGCTCCTGCCTATGACAGCCATTGAGTACATGTGAATCACTCTTGTACTAGACAAATAAAACCATCACCTCCCCTGAGATCTGGATGGAGCAGGCCCAGGGTAGAGGGGAAGAGCAGTTCCCCTAAGACCACCAATTCTGCTTCTAACCCAGGTGCTACAGCATCCTTCAGGGGAGAAATCAATGTGGAGAAGGAACCCACGCACCTTCTTTGATGTCACTAACCTAGCTGCCACCAATGAGCCCTTGGGAGTGGCAGCATCTCCCAGACCACCAGCCTGTGCAGCCACCACCCTGAGAAACAAGCCCTCTGGAGATTCGGCCTGGGAGCTGTTTCTAAGGGTGCTGCAGTCACAGCCGATAGAGACCCACAAGAGAAAGTTCTAGCCACCAAAGTCCTTGGCACTGTCGAGCGATTCAGCATGAGCAACTAATTTGATTTTACAGTGGAAATGACGTTAAAGAAGAGGCATCACCATATTCCTGGTTGCTGCACCCTAAGGACCATGGGATGAGATGGAGAAATTCTAACACATGGAGCTAAAACTTTCTATATATGTTGTCTCTTCTATTAGAATGTGAGCTCCTTTTCTATTTGTATCCCCAAGGATTATTAGAACAGTGCTTTGAACATAGTAAGTGTGTGATAAATATCTTTTCATTCATTCAATCAGTCAGTCTGGGCCTCCAAGCCATCCGTCATAAGCTCAAATCAGCTCTGACATGGCATCAGCCCTGGAACTCAGACTGATCTGCTGACTCTATGTCAGACTGTGGGATGTGTCAAATGTTCTGGTGGTGCTGCCTCAAAAATTGCACAATTCTGAAGAAATTATATCTATTCAAGGAATTCCCTATCACACTCCTTAAAATGGCTGATCTAAATCTTCTCCTCTTTTCTCAAGTTCCCCATGACTCCCTCATGCCACAGTCATTTCAGCAGATGACCTTGCCTGCTATTTTACTAAGAAAAATGAGACCATCTGTTATGAGCAACCTTACTCCATATCTCAAAACGTGGATATTTTAAAATACCTCAAATACCTTTAAAATGAATGTGTTTTAACCTCATCCTCATTTCTCTACATAGGGAGACTACAAAGGCTCTTGCTGTAGAAAACATAGCACTAAAGTTGGAGGAAGGGGCTGGTATGTGCACCTGGTGGGTGAAGAACAATGGCTTTGCTTCTGCTTTTATTCTAAGTCACTGATTTACATAACAAGCTAGAGAGGACAATGGGGATTTTCAACTCCAAGTCAGAAGACTCTGACACTTCTCTCTTGGCACCAGAAACCAAGGCTAAAAGAAAAGACCTCCTCTTAGCAAGGAGGTACTCTTTTTAGCTTCTGTAAGCTGGGTGTGGTAGGGGCTCACCGTCAGCCTGCCTTCTTAATGGAGGCTTTCTGGTTGATAGCCAGGAGGTGGCACTAAAGAGAGGAAGCCTGGAAGCTGTAAGCGAGGATAACTGCTCAATGGAGACCAGCAGCAGGCCAAGGCCATTGGAAATCAGAGAAGCCCCAGAGATAAGATAGAGAAAAGCAGGGAGAAGCGGAGAGAAAATAACCAACAAGGAGTAGCTGAGAGGCCACACAGTACCCAGATATAGACCTGGCAGGGGTACGGGCTGGAGAGACTGGCATGATGACCCCATCAGAAGATATCAGGGGCAAAAGTTTTCCATCCATATCTGGGTCCCCACGTGGGTCCACTCCTAGCATGTGTATTTGTATAAGTATGCCTGAGGTTTGTAGGGGAAATATTTCACTGCTACTTTTCCTTCCATTTTAATTCACAAATATCTTTGCTTTGAACTAGCTGTGTTCTCTGGATCACTAATAAAAGTAACCACATTGGTAGAGGCTTATGAGCTCCGAATCATACTTGGGAATGACTCTTGGAGCAAAATGAACATGGGATAACTTTCTGAGGGCCACACTTGCAAGACAGGGATGCCCCAAATACTATACCTACATATTCACCCCCTCTCCCACCTACCAAATTACCCTTTGTAAACAAAGAAAAACAATGTAACCAAACTGCCTGACACAGTGCTTGTATGTGTCCCTATTTGCCACCTACAGAATGTACTATCATCTGGTTTCTGGATTCAATACTGGTCATCATGCTGAACTCGTCATTCTGAGTTCAGTTGCCTTTTTGTGTTTTTATCTACATTACTGCAATGATGATGTGTGTGTTTTTCTCGGTTCTTCTTATTTTACTCTGAATCTGGTCACACAAATCTTCTTATGTTTCTCTAAATTCTAAAGCATGGTTTTTAATGAATGGTTTGGTATTACTGAATCACATTAATTTTACCACAGAGCTCACCTATTCCTAACTGTTGGGCATCCAAGTTTTTACTTGAACAAAACTGCTCCTATGAACACTTTGTTATCTTTGGGAACACTCCTTTCTGTCTTTGGCTTTCCTGGGATGTAAGCCTAGCAGGGAGATATCTGGGTCAAATACTATGAACAGTTTGGTGGCTTTTCTCAGCCTACTCTGTTGTTATCCATTGCACAAGAAGAGGTAGGGGTGCGTGCGCACGTGTGTGCGTGTGTGCGTGTGTGTGTGTGTGTGTGTGTATCTCATTCTCTAGAATGTAAGTTACTTAAGGGTAGGGAACTGTGTTGTCTCCATCTTTTTATCACCAGCATCTAGCATAGTGCTTTATCCAATGAAGGTGTGTAATAAATGCTTGCTGAATTGAATGAAATACTCTGGGACAGGTAAGATAACAACATATTCTCAGCCCCAAAGCATTTAGTAAGTACCTCCTACGTGTCAGGCATTGTGCTGGGAACAGAAGGAAAAACAAAAACGAAGTCCTCGCTGCCAAGGAGCTCCCAGGCTAATGGGGGAGACGGCATGTAAGCCACTATGTACAAACAAGATCGTGGTCTCAGAAGGAAGGCACATCAGCATTAAGGGGGATCAGGAAAGGCTTCTGGCAAAAAGGGGGGACTTTTGGTGAGATCTGAAGGAAGCCAGAGAAGCCAAGAGGTAGAGACTGGATAGGGGACAGCCAAGGAAATGCCTGGAGTCCGGAGACAGAGAGTTGGGTTCAAGGAAGAAACAGGAGGTCAATGTTCCTCTAGCAGCTACAGCAATACTTATAATGGAGAATAATAATAATACAAATACAGAATAACTGCACATTTGAAGACCATCATTTATTAGAAACAATACCATGGTATGTAGTCAAACAGTATCATATGGCTATATACTCTGTAATTTATGAAATTTGAATGCAACATGACAAAAAGGAAAACGTGCACTAAGTCACATTACGACAATGGACTATTTGGTAAATGCAGTATTTTTCGGGTCATTATTGCATTCATGTCAAAGGTCATATTGAGCATGGATAGCTTGGCCTGTGCTGGCACCAGAAGTTGCTATATGGGATCAGAACTTCAGGGGTTGAAATAGTTCTTCATAAAGCTCTTTGTGTTCCCAGAGACCAAACTTTATTGTATTCCAAGTCTGAATGACAAAGGTCTACTGAATCACTTACATCCGGCTTTAAGTAATAGCTCAACACATCACTTCAGGTACTTCCCACATAATGAGGATAAGAAGCATGGCAGAAGATTACTTGAATTAAAAGTAAGGCTTTTACAGATGAGGAAACTGAGGCTCATAGCAGTTAAGTGACTTGCCCAGAGTCACATAGCTATTAAGTGTCAGAGGCAGGAACTGAACCCAGGTCTTCTTGATTCCAACGTCAAGCAGTTCTCCACCCATTATGCCAAAATTATCTACAGGAATGGATGCATCTTCTTTATTTCTGACTAAAAAATGGTAATCATTAAGGTACATTATAGAGAAGAAACTTAAGTACCTGTAAAAGGTACTAAGGAAAATTGGTCTATCATAAAGATAAATGTAGTCAAATGAGCAATAACTATGAATTGACACTGGTTTGATTGTCTGAATTATATAATGCATAAAAAATTATATAAAGCATAAAAAAAAGGAAGAGACATTATGAACAACCTTAGAAAAATACAATATATTCGCTACCAAGATGAAGAAATACGATCACAAAAATTTGGTTCTCCTGATTATGCATATTAAGGGGAACTAAATATACTATATACCTATATTGTAGATCAAAAATCACTTGAATGAATCCTAAAAGCCTGCTCATTTTCACTGACATAATGCATAAAGGATTTTTTCTAGATAACCAAAGAAGGAAACAAATCCCTAAAAAGAAAATGTATTTTCAAGATTATTTCCCTTCAATTCTTTAAGGACTCATGATTTCATCAGTGGGGGGTATGCACCCTATCAATACAGACTATACTCCTCTTTACATTTTGGCAGGTGCCCAAGCTTTGGGATGACCTGTCACTTTGAACCTAGCGGGGCTGGGCTCCTTGGATGAGAGACATCTAGTTTGGCTCTGGGTTTCTACTGGAAGCCTGTCTTGCTCAGTAGGACCTATTAATATTATTGATGGGGGTGGGGCCCAAGCCAAGATCTTCGCCCTTTGCCCCAAAGGGAATCTGACTCACAGGCTCCAGACCCTCATCTCCCTTTTAAAGCTTTAGTCTTACCTTTTAATCTTATTCACATGTGCCCTAAAAGAATCTGGCTCCCTTTGGTCTATAGGCCCCAGAAAGGCCTTCTCTGGTCTAGACTCCCCTTATCTCCTTTTGAAAGTCCTAGCCCCCACCTTGATTTTGTGCAGATGCCTTTCAAACTTCTGCCTTCCTGTTCCCTCCATTAGCTATTCCCATTGTCTATTCAATCTCTCACACCTCCCCAATTAGAATTCTTACCTAGACCCTTTCCCCAACCCCCTTCTCTGGCCACCCAAAGTTACTTTAGTATTTAAGATCTACCTTGGCCCTCATTCAGATGCTGAGAATCTCAGGCCCACAAGGCTGAGAACCTCTCATGCCCACCTGTCCTTACGGGTGTCACCTGGCCTCTGTGATTTATCACTAATAAACTTTTCCTCTGGCTGAAGAAGATTTGAGTTGAATTCATTCAGCAGGGCCCGGTACCACCGTCTTGGGGTTCTAGCAGCACCCCAAAAGTCCTAGACTTCCTAGCGGTTAGGATTCGGCGCTTTCACTGCTGCGGCCCGGATTCGATTCCCGGTCAGGGAACCATATGAAGAGGTCTAGGTTGACCACTAGGTTGAATCAGGGAAAGCTTCACAGACCACATCAGACTTCTTTGTTTTAAAGACTTGGGAATCTCCCTTTTTTCCAAAAGTTAAGCCAAGACATTAAAACAACTTTTCCTATGCTAATAACATGTTTATTCACCTGAACTATAAGACATCATATTGTAAAGAAGTACTATTTGACTGTAAATTTAGCTTCTTCTGTTACCTGTTTTGCTCTGGTAAAGTTTAAGGAAAGAAATGTTGACTTACCTGTATGAGGTCTGGTAACTGCACTCTCATAGAGTGGGATGCCTTCACCCACATTATTAAATGCTTTCAGGGTGATCACGTAGTGGGAGCTTGGATCTAAAAGAAACATCATTAATGAGAATTTAAAAACAACTTATCATTAAATTGTTAATCAGTCTGAGAGGATGACATGTATATGCACATATACTTTTATGTGTGTGTATGTCATTTCTCAGCCTGTTCCTCTGAATATGCTCCTCCTTCAAGCCAGGATGCCCTCCTTCTCCTCTGTGTATTTCAGTCCTAAATAGCCTTCAAAGCTAAAAAGCTCCCCTGAACAGAAGAATAACAGCTTCTTCCACTTCTACCACACTTTTAAAAAGGGCTTTCCTTACTCTGATGTTTCTCATCTCTGAGCTATTGTCAGGATTCACCACCACATACATGGTCTAGTCCTTAAATCTTGTTTTAAGTGGGCTGGCCTTGTTTCTGTGCCACTGCAGAATCTGTATTGATTCTGTATGTATTAAGAGATGTACTCATTTCCCTTGATAGAACACAAGCTCCTTGAGAACAAGAATGACTTCCTTTTTGTCAATGCACCCCCTGCACCGAGCACTGAGCCTAGTCCATGGCAGTAACTGAAACCAAGTCCTCTTGGTTTCAAGGCCAACCAGCTGTCTACCCAGTATGCCATGCTACCTATAGGAATGAATGTATCTTCTTTATTGCAGACTGAAAACAAAGTGGCCCACAACAGACACTTAAATACTGGAGGACTGTTTTTAGAACTGCTTTCTTGGGAAGATAAGAAAATACTCCTTCTATTTTTGATGCACATGGAATTTATAAAGGTAACTGGATTGTTCACTATTTGGAAGTCTTCAGAAAAAAAGTGTGAAAAAGTAAAAAATGAATGAAATATAAATGGATTTTAATCACAGCTTTGCTCAAGGTAGAAATTTAAGGATGGCAACCTTAAATTTTAAGTTTTTAAAAGTAAGATATGTATTATTAACTTAATTTGGGAAATTAGAATTTGGGAAAGTACAAATGCTTATTTGAATTAGAGTACTTTCTTTTGAAAAAATATTTATTTTTAGTTTTCAACATTCACTTCCACAGGATTTTGAGTTCCAGATTTTCTCCCTATCTCTCCTCCTCCCCTCACCCCAAGACAGCCCGCATTCTGATTACCCCTTCCCCCAATCTGCCCTCCCTTCTATCACCACTCTCCTTCTCTTATCCCCTTCCCCTTCTATTTTCCTGTAGGGTAAGATATATTTTTATACCTTATTGCCTGTGTATCTTTTTTCCCAGTTGCATGTAAAAACAATGTTTAACATTTGTTTTTAAAACTTTTGAGTTCCAAATTCTCTCCCTTCCTCCCTCCCCATCCACCCTCACTGAGGTGAGCAATTCAATATAGTTTATAAATGTATAGTCATGCAAAACACTTCCATAATAGTCATGTTGTGAAAAACTATTTCCCTCCATCCTATTCTGCCCCATTTATTCTATTCTCTCCTTTGACCCTGTCCCTCCTCAAAAGTGTTTGTTTCTGATTACCTCCTCCCTTCTATCATCCCCCTTTTATCCCTTTCCCCCCTATTTTCCTGTAGGGTAAGACAGATTTCCGTACCCAATTAAGTGTGTGTTATTCCCTTCTTAAGCCAAATCCAGTGAGAGTAAAGTTCACTCTTTCCCTCTCACCTCCCCTCTCTTCCCCTCCACTGCAAAAGCTTTTTCTTGCCTCTTTTATATGAGATACTTTACCCCATTCTACCTCTCCCTTTCTCCTTCTCCCATACATTCTTCTCTCACCCCTTAATTTTATTTTTTAAACATCATCCCTTCATATTCAACTCACCCTGTGCCCTGTCTATATATATATATATATATATATATATATATATATATATATATATATTCCCTCCAATTACCCTATTCATGGGAAAGTTCTCATGAGTTACAAATATCATCTTTCCATGTAACAGTTCAACTCTAATAAATCCCTTATGATTTGTCTTTCCTGTTTGCCTTTTCATACTTCTCTTCAGTCTTGTACTTGAAAGTCAATTTTTCTATTTAGCTTTGGCTTCTCAAATATGCTTTAAATTGCTCTACATCATTTAATATCAATTTTTCCCCCTCATTGATTACACTCAGTTTTGCTGGGTAGGTGATTCTTGGTTTTAATCCTAGCTCCTTTGACCTCCGGAATATCATTTTCCATTCAGTTCTGGTCTTTTCATCAAGAATGCTTGAAAGTCCTCTATTTCACTGAATGTCCATTTTTTTTCCCCTGAAGGATTATACTCAGTTCTGCTGGGTAGCTGATTCTTGGTTGTAATCCTATCTCATTTGCCCTCTGGAATATCACATTTCAAGACTTTTGGTCCCTTAATGTAGAAGCTGCTAAATCTTGTGTTATCCTGATTGTGTTTCCACAATACTTGAATTGTTTCTTTCTGGCTGCTTGCAATATTTTCTCCTTGACCTGGGAACTCTGGAATTTGGCTATGATATTCCTAGGAGTTTTCCTTAGAGGATTTCTTTCAGGAGGTGATAAGTGGATTCTTTCCATTTCTATTTTACCCTCTGGTTCTAGAATATCAGGGCAGTTTTCCTTGATAATTTCTTGAAAGATGATTTTCTAGGCTCTTTTTTTGATTATAGCTTTCAGGTAGTCCAATAATTTTTAAATTATCTCTCCTAGATCTATTTTCCAGATCAGTTGTTTTTCCAATGAGATATTTCACATTTTCTATTTTTTCATTCTTTTGGTTTTATTTCATAATGTCTTGATTTCTCATAGCTTCCATTTGCTCCATTCTAATTTTTAAGGAATTCTTTTCTTCAGTGAGCTTATGGACCTCCTTTTCCATTTGGCCAATTCTGCTTTTTAAGCACTCTTCTCCTCATTGGCTTTTTGGACCTCTTTTGCCATTTGTTCTAGTCTATTTTTTAAGGTGTTATTTTCTTCAGTATTTTTTTGGGTCTCCTTTGCCAAGCTGCTGACTCATTTTTCATGATTTTCTTGTATCACTCTCATTTCTCTTCCCAATTTTTCCTCTACTTCTCTTACTTGATTTTCAAAATCCTTCCATGGCCTGAGACCAATTCATATTTTTCTTGAAGGCTTTGGATGCAGGAGCTTTGACTTTGTTGTCTTCCTCTAAGGGTATGTTTTGATCTTCCTTGTCTCCAAAGTAAGATTCTATAGTCTGCGGTTTTTTTTTTTCATTGTTTGGTCATTTCCCCAGATAATTACTCGACTTTTTAACTCTTTGTTAAGGACAGGCTCTGCATCTAGTGTAGAGGGCATATTGCCCCAAGCTGCAGGGGTTTTGTGTAGCTGTTTTCAGAGATTCTTCTAGGGATCCATAAGTTTTCAGTTCTTCCAAGGTGTATGATCAAAGGAGAGGTGTTTATTCCTCCCCAGCCAGCGTTCTGGTCTGTGAGTGATCACAGGCACTCTTTTCTACCTGAGAGTTCCCTCTTCACTGCATCTACATGCTCTGTTATGCCAGTGTTCCTCCTTTTTCCAGGCCTGCCACCCGGGACTGTGACCCAAATCCAATTATGGGCAAATCAATAGAATCATGTGTCAGTGCCAGCAAAGAGATCTCTGTAATGTCCTTCTGATCAGCTGTTTGATCCCCTTACCATTTGTGGGCTGAGATCTCCAGAAGCAGCTGCTGCCACTGTCACCACCACCACGCTAGTTGTGTGCTGAGGCCGGGGGTGGCCTGTGCTCCTCTCTCACCCACGTCCAACAGACCTTTCCTACTGACTTTCTAAGCTGTCTTTAGCACTGGGTTAGGAAGTCTGGAAACTGCCACGGCTGGCAATGATTCAGTCCCCTGAGGCCTGTTCTAGGCCTACTGAGACCCAGTCTGTGCCTGCGTGACCTGCACTAGACTGTGCTCCTCTTTCAGCCTGGCACAACAGACCTTTCCCATTGACCATCTAGGTTGTCTTGGGCTGGAAATTGTTTCATTCTGTGAATTTTGTGGGGTCTGCTGCTCGAGAATTTGTTTATGGTAATTTTTTACAGGCATCTGGAGGGCTTTGGGGGAGAGCTCAAGCGAGTCCCTCCTTTTACTCCACCACCTTGGCTCCACCTCCCTCCCCCCAAATTAGTATGCTTTCTACTTGAAAATATTCCCACAGTAGATGGTGGACCCAAGATAACAGAGTAATAGGAAGAAGTACATCTGAGTTCTTCCCTATAACAGCTCTAAGGAGATCTAGAAAACACATCAGACTGACTGGGAAATGTAAGAAAAAAAAATCACAGTAAGTAATTTTTCCAGACAAGATCTGCACAGGGAGATAGCAGAGAGGTCTGTGGATGATAGGGACAGGGGTCCAGTTAGGATTGGCCATGCCAAATATTCTAGCATAGAAAGTGAAAGAGAAACAAGGTCTCCTATGCCTGCAAGGGCCCCACCTTGCACACGTCACAGGAACAAACGTCAACTGGCAAGTCTGTTGTTCACAACCCAGCTCCAGGTCAAAGAGCCAGGGTGGACTGAGAAGGGGGTCCCTAGGGCTGGTATTTCAGGGTGAGGAGCAGCAGTAGGCCTTAGGCTTTGCATGGAGCATGGAGAACGTTCAGAATCAAGCATCTTCTCAGTCTCAATTTCACCTCCTGCCCTAGTTACAGTGTAAAGCAGAATAACCAGGTCATGACCTCCAGACCAAACGCAAGTCTTCAGTTCTCTCCTTTTGAATCAGCAGAACTTTCCAGCTGGCCAACAGTGGCTATGCCCAGAAGCAATCTACTGGAATTCCAACAGTGGTAAGCCCACAGGTCTGCTGCTCAGACCAGAGGGGCAGCGACCAAACTTTGCCCTTTATCAAACACAACTGTGAGCACTGAAAGCCTGCAGGTCCTCAGCCTAAGCTGCTCCTGGAAAAATACAACATTCAGTAGCCCACACTAAAGCAGCAATAGGACCAACTCAGGTATTAGCTCCAAAAGTACAGAAATCCTGGCTGTAACATAAAGTCCAAAGTTAGAAACAGATTAGAAGAATGAAGAAAAAAAGAATCCCATAATGATGATGATGGTGGTAAGAGCTAATATTTATATAGCTCCTACTATGTGCCGGCACTGTGCTCAGCATGTTTTATAGATATTCTCTCATTTGATCCTCACAACAATCCTAGGAGGTAGGTGCTATTATGATCATCCCAATTTTACAGGTGAGAAAACTGAGGCAAACAGAAGTTAAATAACTTGCTCAGCATTACACAGTTATTAAAGAGTCTAAGGTCAAATCAAGACCTCTCATCAAAGACTCAGATCTTCCTGACTCCAGGCCCAGCACTCTATCCATCATACTACTATGCTGCTCATAAAAAGCTATTACAATGACATGGATAATCAAGACATAAACCTAAAACAGAATGACTTTAAAACAATTACAAGCAAAGTCTCAAAGGGAAAACACAACTCAGGCACACGTTCAACTAGAACTCCTGGAAGAGATGAAGTAACAGTTTTAAAAAGAGTTAGAAATATTTTTTTCTAAAAGCGAAGTAGGGGACAATGGGAACAGAAATGAGCTATGGAATGAAAAATTGCAAAGGGAACTAATGGCTTGGCATAAGAGGCACAAAACACTGCCCAAGCAATAAACTCTCTGCAAATCAGACTTGACCAAATGGAAGCTAATGACTCCACGAGACAACAGAAAATATCCAAACGCTATCAAAAGTGGCAGTGAGGTGGCATAGCGGATAGCGTGCAGGCCCTGGAGCCAGGAGGACCTGAAGTCAAAGCAGGTCTATGACACTTGACACTTACTAGCTGTGTGACCCTAGGCAGGTGTCTTAACTCTGAATGCCTCAAAAAAACAAAAGACTAGAAAAATAGAAGAAAATTTAAGGTATCTCAGAGCAAAAACTGACCTGAAAAACAGAACTAAGGTGAAAAAATTTAAGAATCATTCAAGAGGGGGAAAGGGAGAGGAAGGATGGTAAGCAGACAGAAGTTTATACACAGAAGAAGGGGTGGGGGAGTGGGTAACACTTGAGCCCCCTTCTCATCTAAACTCCTCAGAGGGAAGAATATGCACGTCCATAAAGCCAGGCACAGAAATTAATTTCACTCAACAAGGAAACAGAAGGGAAAGGAAGACAAGGGAATAAGAAGTAGTATAGATTAAGGAAGGAATTAGTTCTAAGCAAAACAAACTCTAAGGATGTACAAAAATACACTTAGTAAAGCTTTTTGTGTTGGCAAATTATTGGAAACTGAGGGGGTTCCTGTAAATTGGGAAATGACTGAAAAAGTTATGATATATGAATATGATGAAATACTAGTGTACTATAAGAAATACTGAAAGGGATGGTTTCAGAGAAACCTGTGAAGACTTATATGAATGGATGCAGTGAGAAGTGACCAGAACCAGAACACTTTGTAGGATAATAATAGCACTGCGGTAATAAACAACTCTGAAAGACTTAGGGATTTTGATCAAAACAACAACCAACCCACGATTCCAGAGGACTTATGATGAAACATGCTGGTCACTCCCTGGTAGAAATGTAAAAGACTCAGAGTACAGGTGAGACCTACTCATTTGCTTATGGCCAATGTAGGAATTTGTTTTGCTTGACTAAGAATGTTTCTAACAGGGGTTTTGCTTTCCTTTTTTCCTCAACTGGGGGAGGGATGAAGTGGGAGGGAGAGAAAGCAGATTTTTGTTGACTGATTATATTTTAAAAGTTTAATAAAAACAAAAATAAGAAAACATTGCCATAATTCTCAAAAGTATTCTCTTCTATGGCATCTTCTTCCACTTCTCCCACTTACCTAGGTTCTCAATTGTATAGTAGCGCTGCTTGTAGTCCACTTTAATAGTCTGAGCATGGGGGCTGCCAAGTCCATAGCCGATGGCGTAGCCTCTGACCACAATGTTCTGGTTTTCTGGAGGAGTCCAGCTCACTACAATACTAGTAATAAGTGGGCGGACATGGAGAGAACTAGGAACTTCAGGAACACGAGTTTCTGTGCAAGAAAAGATAAAAGCAAGGTGTGACTGACCTTATATTCAAACAGTTGCTAATGCTTAGCAACTATTCAAACGGTGTTTAGGCCCCTGTTTTTCCATGCCCATTTCTAAGAGCAGGGTAAGAAGCCAGATGTTGGTATACAAGGAAGTAGGCACACTCGTAGTACTGTTTAATTCGGCCCATGGCTCTGTCTCATTGAGAGATGAAGAAAAAAAACCAAACAGCCAGCTATCCTAAGCATTAATGCCAAAGTATTCTACTTGGCTGTAAAACATAGAGGATTTAAATATGACAGTAGAAACTGCAAGTCACAATAATGACTATCTCCCTGGAATGTTACCTGTTATTTATTTATTTTTTAAAGAGCAGAGTAGAGAAAAGCTAAATAAATAAATTTTCAATTATACAACAGGGACAATTTCCCTTGCTTCAACAACAGTTAATGTTATCTAAGTCTTTTCTATTAAAACACTGATCTCTTTCTCTTTGCTTTTACTAAGACATCTCTTGTTGTTATGCTTCTGGGGATTTAACCACAGAGACCTTGCCATTCTTTTCCAGGAAAATTTTCCTAAAGGTTTTTTAAGTAGTAGAAACTGCCTCACTGAATGCATTGTGGCTATTCTGCCTCACTCCAAATGCAGGAGAGATGGCTCTACTTTTGGAATGTAAGAAGAAAGTAAGTTGTTTGAGCCTTGGTTGTTTTCCTTGGGAAATAGTTAGAAACATAAGAAAAGGGTCTAAAATAATGAAGAACAACTCATCAACAGGCATATCCCAAAATAACTTTGCAGCAGGAATAAACATAGCTTGTTCAATGTCTTCTAATAATTATTAGTCTTTTATGTTCTAAGCGAATTGCTTTATCTAGAGATTAAATCTCTCCAATCTGTTCTTCAGCCTGATAGCTAACACTTAAAATAAAAATACCTTCTGCATTTCTTTGTAAAATAAACCCAGTCATAATTTTGGTAATTGCCTTTACCCCCATGTACAAATCTCCTAAAAGTGCTGTATAGATATTCATAAGAAATAAGCCTTTCAAAGAATAAAATTCCAGTACTAGGTCACAGTTAGCAACAGAGTCTAAGCAATGGGCCTTAAAAGACCAAAATACTATTGTAGCAATTTAGAGGATTTTTCTCTAAAAATCAGCTTCCTGTTTTTTACTTTCTTTTTCCTTGCTAAAGAAGATTTTTTTTGGCTATTTCATTTTTTACATTACTTAAATTTCCCCATTAGCTGCCCTTTCACTCTCAGAAAGCCATCTTTTATAACAATTTTTAAAAAAGAAAAATAGGAATAGAAAAAAAATCATATATTGAAAAAACTAGCAACACACGTAGTGTTCTAAACCTGTTCCTCTCTTTCCTTGCTAAGGAGTAAGGCAAAGTGTTTTCAGCATTTTATTTTCATTGCTATTGTAATCCCCATTTCACAGATGAAAAAAATTGAGGCTCATCAGACAGCAAAAGTGACAGGTCAAGAGGAATATACACCCAGATCTTCTTTACGCCAAGGTCACCACCCTAGCCACTTTACCATGCTATCTCTATTTGTATTACTTTCTCAAATCAACAAGAACTCCAGTATAACAGAAAGGCTAACTATTTCACGTTAAAAATAAAGTCAAGTATTTAAGTAAAAGATTGAAACCAAAATGCTATTGGTTCACAGAGTTTCTCACTGTAGTACACTGGAAAGTGTTAAGATTAGGATGCAGGAGACATAGGTTTGATTCCAACACTTAACAGACTATAATCCGGAACAAAACACATGACTACTCTGAGCCCTGGTTCCCTCATCAGTAAAATGGGGAAGATAACAGGAGCTGAGCTTGTCTCCCAGGGGTGTCATAAGAAAAGTGCTTTATCTACCCTCCACCTTTTCCTCCCCTCTCCATTATTTTGTATCTCTGAAATTCCAATTGTTTCTGTGTGTGCATATGTATGTGTGTGTGTGTGTGTGTTTTAGTAGTAACTAAAAGCATTTAAATGACTACACACAAGTCTTCCTGTGTTATCGTCTGAATAAACTTAGGACCTATGCTTTACATACGAGGAAACTGAGGCTCAGAGAGATTAAGTGAATTTCCAGTGCCAGTCAGTAAGACTAGCCCCAGCTATGCTTGGATTCTCAGGATGATGCTCTTCCCACTGCACCCCAAGGCCTCTCAGGCATACATATCCTCATTTAGGCAGCACATACACCCCTGCGTCACTCACCTAAGTCACAGATCATTAGACTTGGAAGGAACCTCATACATCATCTGGTCCAGCTGCCACATTCTACAGACTGAAGCCCACAGGGGTTAACTGACTTGCCTGAGGTCACACATCTAGCAGGTTAACAGAGCCAGGGCTAAGTAGACAAGACTCATATGGAGATTCAATTTTCAACAAACTCATGGAGCCTAGAGTTAGGGAAGGAAGGGAATTTGGGACTAAGGGAAAGGCATGATTTAAATAAATGGGATCAGACGCAAATTTTACAACATCTACTTATACATGACCTCGGTTCATAGCTGTTCTAAAGTACAGCATGTTTTCATTTTTATTTATTCTTGTTTTTTTCTGTTGTATATATTTTAAAAAATACTGTGGGATATACACTCCTACACCTCTGCTGAATAATTAGAAAGAATAACCAAATCAATTCACAGTGATGTTTAAAAATTTTCAAATGATACACCATGCCTTGTTTGTTCATTAATTTGGCTTTGTAATAAGCTCTGTAAGAGGGGGACCCAGAACACGTTGCCCCCTAGCCCTACTCATTAACACTTACCGTCTAGGTCACTTTCAAACGTTTCTGCAGACATCCACTCTGTAGCTGGCCCCGTCCCATTGACAGTAAGTGCAGCCACTCGGAAGTTGTACTCAGTGCCCCGATCAAGACCTAAGGTTCAAACAAGAAAACTCACGTGGGAAAGACAACAACAAGAGAGAACAAATGGACTGTTTCTCATTCTAAAGGCTTGTATTTTAAACTTAGTTTGATGGTAAGATCTTATTAATATTTCACTATTTTTCAGATAATAAAAGATTTTGGAAATGGAAATTTTAAGTAGGCTAATAATTTCTGATCCTAAAAGCAGCTATTTTATATGTAAACTTAGTGTGACAGACCTTGTCACATCCCACTCAATACCAAGATATATAGGTTACTGCTGTCTTGACAAAGTCTAGGTCAAAGTTAAGAGTCAATCTGATGCAACATATTTAGAATTGTAACCTAAGGGCAGAAATCATAATGGGCAAAGCTCTCAGTAGAATGCTTGACTATTTTTTCTAGGGCTTGGTGAGATTTTAGAGATCACCCATTCACTTTCTTTTTACAAGTGAAAAAACTAAAAGCCCAGAGGACACCAAGGTCACAGAGTGAGTAAGTGGTTCAAACAGAACTCAAGGACAGAATCAAGCTGGCCCCAAAGATGCCCAGAGCTAGAACAGAACAGAATGTTTCCTTTCGGGTTCTCTAAGTTTTCTGTCAAATATATTTTTCCCGTTAATTTTCCCAGGCCACGTGCCATGCCTACCGGTGCCTACAATAAATCAGTCTCCTCTAAGAACAAAGCCCAGCTTGCTCAGCCAGCTGCAGCCAACTCCCCACCCCTACCTCCACCCGCAACTGGATTTCCAGCTTTCAATCTCAATGCCAAGTAGCTGTCTGAACTTTTCCCAGAACAGCAGGAGAATGCCATAGACAGGACTGACTGAAGGTCACACAAGGAAGAAGCACCAGAACTAAGCTTTGAACTCAGGTGCTGTGACTTGAAATCCAGGCATCTTTCTGTGATAGCAAGCGTAGCTGACCAAATGGAGAACAGAGAACCAGAACACTTGACTTCTAACTCAGCCTTGACATCACCTCCTCTCATCTAGAAGACAACAGGACTGGACTGGATGATCTCCAAGGCTCCTTCTGGCTCTAAAATGCTATTTGATGAAGAAGGAAGCATATGAAGTATATATTTCAGAAAAGCTATGGTCTGCCTTACAAGTATATTTGACTACACTTATTGTTCCAAATATTAAAATGATTAGTTTTTTGATGTGCACAGTCCATGAAGTATTTTAAATAAGGAATACTGAATAATACTAATATATTTAACATATTAAATATTTAATATACAATTATATAGCTGACATGTGCCCAATAGGAAAACCTCCATCTCCCAGAATGTTTAGGACACAGGACTAACTTATTAACAGGCAGTACCCCGCACAAAGAGCACTGGGTCAGGGGTAAAATAACCTGGATTCCAATTCTGGCTCTGCCTCTTATCACCTGTGTGACCCTGGGAAAGGCACTTAGTGTTGCTGGGAATTAGTGCTTTCTTCACTGAAATGAAGAGACTGGAGTAGATGACCTTTATGGTTCCTTTCTAGATCTAAATCTTATGAATCTGGGACACTGAGAAAATTTCTAGATTACTAATGTCCCCCATCAGTCATTTTTCTTTCTTAGATTCTCACTCAAATGCCTCTCACCTATACCTTTCCCCACTTTGGGTTTTGGATGTTTACAAAAAACCCATCGTCTTGTTATAGAATGTTCCTAATGTCCTTTTTATAAATGTTAATCCTTTTTAATAAAAACATTTATCTTGAAAATATTTTTATTGACTATTTTATCTTTATATCATCTACATTTCCCAATGTTTACCACACATCAAGCACTGGGGATACAAATACAACAGCAGAGAAGGCCCTTGTATTCCAGGAGCTCACATTCTAATAGAGATAGTAGGAAGAGGCTACATACCTGGGGAAGTGGTGGACAGGGAAGTACACTTTGGTCCAGTATGTTATTTGGATAGTGAGTAAGGCCATATGAGAGTATCTAACACTACAGGACATACCTGGAAGGCATATTTCTAGGAACAATGGTGGCATTTGTTTGCTTATGGTCCTAAGAAGAGAGTTGTGGAGGAAAGGGAAGGTGAGGCTGCTATTGAGGTAACTGGGGAGTAGGGATGGAAGCGAAACATTGCTAAGATCTACTTGAAATAGTGGCCAAGTGAAGCTGGCAGCAATGAGGATGGGGGGCCCCACGGATAAAGCTCCAGAGAGAAAAGGGCTAAAACCTCTAGGTCACAGTTTCTGGACCAGGTAGCAGAGCAGTTGGTGATAAGATGGCTTTTCCTGGCTTACTTGAGACAAGTCATATCCCATCAAGGCTCATTAATATCTAGATGAGATATTTACTTCGTGGTATCAAGATTCCCTAGTTTACTTAGTTAATATTATTCATATTCTGCAACTTACTAAGTAAAGTTCTCCGAGGATTCAAGCATTCTCCATATTCTTCTTCCTGAACTTTGTGGACATTTTTGTAACCTTGCCCAGAATTACCAACCGGCAGGAAGCACCTCTTCTTCTAGTGGCCTTTCATTCAGAACTTGTGGATGCTCATCAGCAGACTCTCCTGGGCCCCATTCTCCTTCAACCCCCTGATTAGCTGCCATGGTACAGATGTTCTTCCTTAGCCTTCCTTTTCTGGGTCACATGTTCCTGCTCTCCAGCATCCTGACACAGATTTGGATTCTTATCTGCTTTCTGGGTATATTTCTACTTCTTTGTTTTCCTCTTGAGGCATTTATTTCATTCTTTCAAGGAACAACTCATTCTTCCTGACTATCTGGAAAGTAAAGAAGCATTCTTCTACTCATCCAGGTGAAACCAATGATGTGTTCTGGATTCAGGCACTCACCAGTTGGCTCTGGAAGACACCCAATCTACCTTATTGGAGAGACCGCTGCAATAGCCTCCTCACTGATCTCTCTACTTCACATTTCTTCTCTCCAGTCCATCTGGCACACAGCTGCCAGAGTCACATTCCCAAAGCAAAGATTTGACCACATCACTTCTCTGCTGGGTAAACTCCCTGGCGTCCTATTGCCTTCTGATCAGGGGCAAACTCCCCTGCTTGGCTTTCCAGTCTATGAAACTGGCTTGACCGCATTTCTTCACCTCTAAGATCACCTCCCCTGCCTGGAATGCTCTCTCCCCTGGTCTCTGCCTCTGAATTCCCTTCAAAGCACAGCCCAAGCACACCTTTTCCAGACACTGGCCTTTCTTGCCTCACCACCCCATCCCCCTAGCTTTCTGGGACTGGTCCTCAGGTCCACTGAAGCCCTGGATGGGGACCTTCTCCACCAATGCAGATAACTATTAGTGGCCTTACAAGGTGGCCTGGGCCCTGACAAGCTCCATAACCTGTCCAGGGGCCCCCAGGATGTCAGAACCAGACTCCAAGGCTGGCCCTCTGTTCATGAGGTTATGTCTGGTTGCATTCTTCATTCCCATGTTTGCTGTGCGGATACTTCTATGTTTACAAGCTGTCTCCCACAACAGAATATCGGCTTCCTGAGGGCAGAAAGATTCTGCCCGGTTTCTGTATCCTAAATGCCTGGCACGTAGTAGTGCTCAATCCATGCTAATTCTCACTAATTAATTCTCCTCACCCTAAAATGACCTGTTTCTCCCATCTGTTCGCTGGCCTCTGGACCCCAAAGGAGGCTTTTTGTACAAAGGCTCCTCGGCTACTCTGCCCTCAGTGTCATTTCTTTTTGTGTGTGTGTGAGGTGATCAGGGTTAAGTGACTTGCCCAGGGTCACACAGCTAGAAAATGTTAAGTGTCTGAGGCTGGATTTGAACTCAGGTCCTCCTGACTCCAAGGCCAGACCTCTATTCACTGCGCCACCTAGCTGTGCATACTCTGCCCCCAGTTTCATCCATATCTAAATTGCACTTCTCAGATCACTCTGTCATTATCAGACTCCTGCCAGTGCCCTAACAAATCTGAAGAAACTAAAATTCCCAGACATTTTTTATCTCTTCCCTTCTCTTTACTAGATGTTGGCTGCTCTTATCCTGACTCTTCCTTGCACACCATCTTCTATCCCTGTCCCTCTAGGCTTTTAAAGCAGGTTTTCCTGCTATCTATGAAGATACGGACTGGTCTGCCATTAGCTCCTGTTCAATATCACAATGCAAACAGCAGATGTACCTAGTTGTCACTTTTAAGTTCTTTGAAGACATCTAAATTTTTACCTGCTCCACTTCTTCCCTTCTCCTCATTTGTCCTGTTTGAGCTTGCATCTTGTCTTTATGTCATCTATTTCTTCTAGTACAGACCTTCCCAGGACTTCTAGGATTTAATCTTTTCACTCTCATCTGTTTCAATAATTTAAACTTTTACATTTAGTGCTACATGTCTACCAATATAAATGTAAAGATACTAATAAATCTCAAAGGGAAAAATATTTGCCTACAAAATAATAAGCTACAAAACAAGGTAACTGATGTCACTGCCAAACACTGTATCTGGATAATCTACACTAATCTAAAATGCTTAATAAATCTGCTACCAAAGGTTCCCCCACAATTTCAGGCCTGGAAGGCTAATTAAGACCTGCAAGGAATAAGCATAAAAAAAACCCCTTCAACATTTTTCCTTAGTGCAAAAAATGGATGGTTGTGAATTCATATTTTTATAATAGAGCTGTGGATTTTTGTTTTTAAAATTAATTCCTCAAAGTAAAAAGAACTGTCTCCTTGTATTAAGGAAAAGTAATAGGACCTAAAAAATTGAGCTATTACTTTATACTTCAGGTTTATTTTTTTAAAATAAATTTTGATTTTCAACTTTTGTTCTTACATCATCTACATTTTTCACTGAATCCTTCTTTTCCATAGTACTCCCAGAAAGACATCACATATAATAACAAACAAAATAAAAAGGAGAGAAAAGAAAGAAAAAACTGATTACATATAAAAATGTTTGAGGTTCTATTTAGCATTCCTGACTTCTGGGAAGGAGCATGGCATGTATTTTCTTAGGTCTCTTCTTTGGAGTCAGGCTTGGTGAACACAATGTTGCATCAGGTCTCATTGTCATTCTTCCTGTCTGCATTGTTACAGTTATTGTGCACACTGTTTTTATGACACAGCTGCTTAATTCCGCGTCTGTCCCCGAAGCCTCTACCATGGCTTGTGCTGTATTCTTCATGTTGTTTCCCACAGCACGGTAAGGTTCCATTCACTCATGTCCCACAAGTTTTCTGGCCACTCCATGGATCAATGGACATCTTTGTTTCCAATTGTTTGCTACTATGAAATGGATTGCTATAAACATTTTGTGGCATATACAGTCTTTCTAGCAGTGGAATCTTGGGATCACAAGGTATAGACATTTTAGTCACTTTCCTGGTATAATTCTAAATTAAGCAGTTTCTTTTAAAAAGAAAGTTCCCATCTGACTCCTTCTCATAAAAATTATATCTATGTTTTTTAGGAGACATATATGTCTTTGATTTCTTTCCTTTCTTTCTTTTTTCTTTTTGCTTTTTGGTGAGGCAGTCGTGGTTAAGTGACTTGCCCAGGGTCACACAGTGATCCTGTCAAGTGTCAAGTGTCTTGAACTTGGGTCCTCCCGACTCCAAGACCAGAGCTCTATCTACTGTGCTACCTAGCTGGCCCATGTCTTTGGTTTCTTAGGTTTACCTATCCTTACATCTAATTTGTTCATCATGCATTCAGTTATTCTACTGACTGCCCTTCAAGAAAGCCTTAAAAGTGGAAGTCCTAACTATGCATGTAGGACGGTCTAAGCCTAGTTCCTGATGATGTTGGCACTCCATATTTGCTCAGAAACTGACCCCAAGCACCATCTATGTGCTGCCTTTGGCTATCAAGACCTTGAAAGACAGCTATGGGAATCATACCTACTGCAATTTGAGTCAATATGCTGAAGCCTATTTACTCCCCACTAGCACAATTAATCATATTACAGAAGAAAGCTTTATTAAAAGGAAGAAAATAAAACGGAAATCCTTGAGTGAGTGATAATTAGCACTAATGATATAGATAAATGCCCAGGGTGCCTTAAGGGGCCACACGATAGGCCTCTTTGGTGGAAGTCCTTCCACCCCAGGTAGCACAGTAATCTAGGCCAAGGGCTCACTGCTGTGAGGAGAGGGTGTTTTTTTTTTTGTTTCTTCCTCTTTCTCTCCAACCTGCTGGTACTCTGCCTGGTATTTTCACCTCCACAGAATGGCCAGCTGCTCAGACAACGTGAAGAGTTTTGAGTGATCTCTTGATTTTCTTTGCCATGTCTGCATGAAAAAAGTGAGCAAAACCTCTAGGCTTCCACCTCTCCCCTAGTCAACTCCATCTGCATCTGAAAAGCTTCCTCTCCTCTCCACACTCCTGGCCCTTTCTGCTTCACAGGTACATGCTCCAGCAGACGCACTTTTCTTTTCCTCGTTATTCATTTGGAAGAGGAAAGGAGAAAACATCCTAGCCTTCACTTTGCCACATATGGCAAACTTGTAAAGGGCTTTGATGCGAACATTTCCCTACTGTAGGAGAGGGGCCTGGTGACATTTCTACTATTCTGGGGAATTAGCTGAAGCTATGCTAACCTGGCTGACTCAAAGAAGCCCCAAGGAGCTAGCTCAGAAATAGGTGAGAAGGGCTAGAAGAGACAATAGGGCCCAAACAGAAAAAAAAAACAGCAACTGGGCTAAGGTTTCCTGGAGCAGAGAGGTTGGGGGGGGGTTCTTCTGAAGCAAAATAGTGGGGTAAGAGGGATTAGGACAGATTTCATCTCGTGGGAAAAAGAGCTCGTTAGCCCAGTGCTACTTGTACTTTATATTAAAGTGGGTGACATTTTTTTCTCATTGTTAGGAAAAGCCTTTTTAAAAACCCAAATAATTTTTGAGTAAACTAAAGGAAAAGTGAAGAACACATATGTAGCACATGGCATAGTTTGCTCGCAGAGAAAGATGTAAAGGAAGCCACAACCCAGAGCTGGGGTACCAGTGAGTGAAAAATACATCAGAACCATCATGACTGAGACTTGAAATTCTCATTTTCTTCCAAATTTCTCACAGTACAGAGGCTTTGACACTTTGCAGACCTTTCAGCTACATTTGCTTGTGAAATGCTTAAAAACTTTGTAAATCATCTTCTGACATAAAAGACAACAATTTTAAAGGGCTCATCTATAAATCTTCTACTCATTTTGTGTATTTGTAGCATCCATAATTCATAAGGTATTAAAAAAAACCACTGCATTTGACTAAACAGACACAAGCTCAAGTCTGTTCTTGTCACTCAAGGTAGATTTGATAAAAACAAGTTCTTTGCTTACACAGAACAACTATATATGAATCGTTTCTCCCCACCCCCCCACCGTTTTACAGTCATTGCTAGACAAGTTAAAGAATCCAAAGGAAGGTGAGTCATGTAGGAAAATGTTGACTGCCAATAGAGCTAGTAAAATAAGAATTTTGTCTCAATTTTCCTCTTATTTGAACTATTAAGAATATCATCAAGTAATTCTGAAAGGGCAAAAGCAAATGGAATCATCTAAACTATTTGCATAAGTCAATTAACACAATTACATATTCAGAAATGATCATACTTTCATTCTTCTTTCCAAAATGCTAAGCAGTTTACCCTCAATTAACTGAAACAGCTGTGTTCCTCCAACGCTCTCCGTAACATCACTCTTACGGGAGGATTTCCGATAGCGAATCTTGTAGCCAGTGATTTGCCCATTTTGTGTGCCTGCTGGAGGGGGGCTGCCAGTGAATCACAATACTCTGGAGAAGATAAGATTGTGGAGAAAAGTTGAGATATATCAGAGGCCTAAAACTCATGCTCCTAATGATTGCTATATATAAGAGGTTTAGGAAAAATCAATACTCACAAATAGATCAAAAGCTGAGATCATATAAAAAGACCTTACATTTATATACCACTTAATGGTTATAAACTCTTTGAGAATAGGGATCATTTCATTCTTTGTATTTGCATTCTCAGTGCCCAGCACAGGGCATGACCTTAGCCCATTTGATTCTTACACTGACCCTATGGGGTGGGCAGAATAGGCATCCCCATTTTACAGATAAAGGGACTGAGGTTCAGAGAGGTTGATTTGTCCATGGTCACATGGCAAGTAAGTGGTGAAGCCAGCACTGCACTGAGGTCTTCAGACACTAAATTTAAGTTTCTTAACTGCAAATTACACCGCGTTATGATTCTGCTTGATATGTGTGTATTTTCTGGACCAGATCTGTACTTTTGTTAGATTGGGGGCCTCCCACCCAGGGAGGGAACTCCCTGCATCTGTATAGCTCTGCAGCTTCTCTGCACCTTACAGCCTCACAGAGCTGCCTGGGCACTGAGGGTGCCTTCCCCAGAGTCACCCTGAAGGACAGCACAGATCTCTTCTGACTCTGCCAAAGGCCACAGGCTCATAAGTTAGCTAAGTTAACATGTCCCTAGGTTGTGGTAACTGAAGACATGGTTGACTTCGACAGGCTTTTCCTTCTTTTTTTTTTTTTCCCTCTGAAGAGCTAATCCTTTTGAGGACTGTAATAGCTCTGGTCCCAAAGCACTTCAGAGTCTACATGCTTTCCTCACAGCAACCCTGTGAAATACATAGTTCATAATCATCATCTTCATTTTCCAAAAAAAGCAAACTGAAGCTTGGGCAGCTGGCCCCAGGTCACCCACGTAATAAGTAGGAGAGATGGCCAGGCTTGGGGCTCTTCCTGCTGGCCTCCTTATGCTGCTTTTGACTCCCAGCAGATGGTCAGTCATGCAAAGGCCTGGTGACGCTGGAGAGCAGAGTCCTCGGGCCGAGCTCTCTGAGAACAATGGGTGAATGGACAAGCTGAGCTGCAGTTCCCACACCTTTGTCCCTCTCACACTGCTTAGCTCTTGTGTTCTGCTCTCTGAAAACACTTTAGGAGCATCATATAACTAAGACCACACTAGAGAAGAGATGGTCCTGGTACAGTAATCACATCCTGGAAGGGTCCCACCAGGACTTCCTTCTAGGCAATCCCCAGAGGCTTAGAGAGAGACCAATGCAAATGGAAAGTCTGGCGCACACACTTTTACCTTGGAATTTCTCACTTCTAAGGACAGGTTCTGAGGAGCAGCACTGGGGACTAGAAATGTGAAATAAAAAGGACAAGGTTAGATCTCCAATCACCCGCAAGGACACCTGTTTCACTATACTTCACATGCAGATGCCATTTGTCAACAAGAGCCCTTCAGTTGCCATGTGGCTCTTCAGTTCCTAACTGGCTAACAAATATCAGGATTTCCCTAAGTTGGTCAGCACTGTCTCCTTCAAGGAAGGCATTTGGAAGGCTGCATATTTAGGTTGAGCAGTGCTGCCACCACTCAAAAATATTTTTGAAACTCTTTGGAAACTAGCACTTTTGGCCTGTCCTCAGTGGTGACATATCTTTCTTTTGAAAACAGATTTAATTTTTGTAAATAACCAAGGATCATTCAGGACCACACCTAGAGAATGAGATGATATATAAAGCCAGGTTTTTCTAATTAAAAAGCATTTGTGACAACACAATGATGCAACCAATTTTTGGACATGACTTATATGGTGACTCTGAAGAAAGTTCCCAAAGGAGTTCCAGATATGCTTTCAACTCTGGCATGGTCAATACTCAATAGATAAAAATGGAGGCTTACTGAGGTGGTAGAAAGAGTAATCAATGAGAAGTCAGATCAGTGGGTCCTAGCCCCAGGTCTGCCACAAATCAGTTATGTAACTGGGGAAAAGCTGTCACTTCTCTGTTCTCAGTTTTTTTTTTCCATCTGTAAAATGATTCTGTTGTGTTTATTAAAGAATCTCATTATTTTATAGTTACATGGTATAGGTCACACTACCTTCTTGAAAACAACTGACACAATTTACCACCTCCCCTGATAAAATGACCCTAAGAACCATCTGAATAGTCAAACAGTCCTGACTATTTTCCTCTTTCATTCAAACTTAAAATTCCATCCCTCTCACTGTGATCAGTGCTAAGACTTACAATGTGAATTTTTATTTATTTCTCCATAATGACTTTGGATTTTGTAATCAAATCACCCAGTGAAAGAAAACCTACACAACTGTAAGTGTGTCTACCACGTACTTATTACCGATCATAGTGAATGCCCACATTTCTGACTTCTGAGTCACCGACACTGCTTATGTCCAATGCTCTTTGTGAACTCTCCCAATACACGGCACCTTCCAGGCCCTTTCATTCCTTCTTCTTTATCTGCCCTTACCTGAGCACATTTTATAATGCCAACATCTGTCATTTATATAAAACTCTGAAATGACTCTCTGACAATAAGTCAATTATCCTTCTGTCTTTCCCTCTGCCTCACTTTTTAAAACTACTCAATCCTTCCATTGATATTAAGTCTCATCCTCATGTTTTCTGGATTAAACTAGAGTCCCCAGAACCACACAGCACCCAGTGAGAGGGAAATGGGATGCTCCTTATGGTAACATCAATTACTATATCATCAATTACTATATCAGTCGTCTCAGTTGTGTTTGCCTCTCTGTGATCCCATTGGGGGTTTTCTTGGCAAAGATACTGGAGTAGTTTGTCTTTCCTTCTACAGCTCATTTTACAGATGAGGAAACTGAGGCAAACAGGATTAAGAGACTTGCCCAGAGTCACACAGCTAGTGAGTGTTTGAGGTCAGATATGAAATCAGGAATGAGTCTTCCTGACTTCAGGACCGGCACTCTATTCACTGCAGCACCTAGCTGCTTTGTTTAAATGAAATTCATACATTTAGCTTACAGCTATTGGTGAGAGGAGTTTGCTCAAAGCTGTATTTCATAGCCTCCACTTGAAAACATTTTTACAAACACTTGCATCGACATAATACAGAATATTTGGCTCAGAAGCTGAGAAAAAACCTCAAGCTTTTAAAGGACACATATATAAACATGAATACCACACCCACATACACATACACACACACACACACACACACACACATTTTTAAACAAAGTAGTTTTCAGACTATTAAGATTCTACTGTTATTGAACTTTGGGTAGTAGGGTACAATTCATCCATTTTGATGGAAAAGCAGCCATAAACAATGAGTACCATTTTCCTAAGAAAAATCTCATACAGGTCCAGTTAGCATGCAAACTTGATTGTTGGTCAAAAAATGTATCTCTAACAGTCAGGGCAGACCGGGTCTTAGAGCATTCCCACAAGCATACATATAAAAAAAGAGCACTACATAACTTCCAAAGGAAATGAATAACTTACCATCTGATAACGTTCGAACAACAACATCTTGTGTGGAGACTCCAGGACCATGTTTATTATAAGCTACTACTCGGAAACTATACTCTGTGTATTTTTTCAATCCATTAATGGTGTAGGAGCGACTTCCAACATCTACATCCTGTCCATAAAGGAAAATAACTCATACATACATATCAAGCCAAAATAAATACTGCAACTAAATAAATCTCCTAGACAAAGCACATTAACTATGTTTTGTGTGGTGAGGCACTGATTTTTCTTTTTATATGAAACCACTTCTTGATAACAGATGGTGATGGAGTATAAATGATGATGACTGGGAATACTGCTTCAGGTTTAGCAACAGTTCACTATGATTGGTGAAAAATTAAAGATTAAAAAGTAGTAGGCAGAGAAAGAGTCTCTTCCTACATGAGTTCTCTATTTATTATTATTATTATTATTATTATTATTATTCACCAATATGAAACCATGTTATCTCTATACCTCATTTTTTATGAAATTGCCACCCAAGTGAATGTTCAGCATCTGGAATGTCATCATTGCCCTTATTTCAGGGAATTACTTTTCAGATGGCTACATCATACCTGCTCATTGTCTGCTCCCTTTTCCATGTAGTACAACTTGTAATTCTGAATTTCCCCGTTGCCAGATAAAGGTGTTTCCCACGTGACAGTTATTGAGGTAGGTGAGGTAGCATATGCTCGGATATTAGGTGCTGGGCCCGGGAGTTGGACTGAAATAAAAGTAATAAGAAATAGGGGGGGGGGGAGAGTAAATTCATTGAATTCATCAATTAATTTTTCTCTCATTAGTATAACACATGTCAAAAAATAAAACTTGGAAAGCAACCGGCTTGCCTGAAATGTGATTAGTTAGCAAACAAAGTTCTTTCTAATTACAAATCTATGATCTTAAGCTTTGAGATAAACACTCTTTTTTAAAGAGGAAGTACATTAAGTACCTTTCTTTGGTAGCAGATGATGAAAACTATTACTACAGAAATTATCTTACAGTTCACAAACATATTCCTTGTACTGTGACCTTTAACTGTACTGCATGTGCATCACGGACTTGTTTTCCATAGTGGAAGTAGTCAGGGTCCCTACATAATTTCTGGATTTCAGCATAACTATGCCATTTATTAAGGAACTGTTGAGTTGAAGAGGTATCGGATCTTGTAAATGATTAAGAGAAATAATTTCTCTTTGATTAGATGCAAATATTGTAGACTTAAAGCAAGCTCTAGAAGTCTAAAAGAGAGTTTTCCTGCAAAAGAACAATGTGTGATTAAGCTTTTTACATGACATTTTACAATGGGATTTTGAATGATTCTGTTCTCAATGAATGCCAAAACAGAAATAGTTTTCAAAAGGATGACAACATTTAGTTGACTAGTTTAACTGAAAAGCAAAGCAGAAATAGAATAGTGTAGGGGCAAAATAGTTAATCTGGAGTCTGAGAATCCGAGTTTGCGTCTTTAGCTTTGCAACTTACTATCTATGTGATTTTTAGACAAATCATTTTCCTTTTCTGGGCTTCAATTTTCTCCTCTGAGAAAAATTCTTTATCTATCATGTTCATTCTACTTATCCATCATGTTTTAGCTTTATCTATCATTCTCTACCTATCATGCTTGAGAAAAGTAGACTAGACAATGTCTTACAATTTTTTTCAGTTTGGGCAATGAATGATTCTAAGATGTTAATATTTCTTTCTAATTTAGCTCCTCAAAAAAAATGTGGAGATAAACTGCAGAATATCATATTGTTCTGAACCATTTTATATGACATTAATTCATGGACAGCAGATTTGTATTGGAACTTGCATAATAAAAAATGTTACATGGCAACTTTTTCCCATTTGAAGTTTGAAATGTGCAACTGGTTCAAGATTATGTATAGATCCATACTTGTGCTGATTTTTTCTAAGAATATTTTTTAAAAATGACTCTCTTATGATAGTTCACAAACAGAAGCTTACTATTTATAGAAGACAATTAATAAAACTTCATTTCCAAATGGGCTTGATTTAGACACTGTAATCTTCTAAAGAAGTGCTAAATCACAGGATAATCAGTAATGATAAAGGATTGAGGTATAAACAATTATATGATAATTAGAAAAGTTTAATCAAGCACCCTTGTTCTGACAACCTTACTAATGGCACAATAGATATACAAAGAATCACATCTGTCTCACAAGTTTAAACCAAAGAAGGGCCTTAGAGCTCAATTGGGCCAACGCTCTCAGTTCAAAGAGTTGGAGTGACCCATTCAAAGTGACACAGCTCATCAGGGACAGGCTCTGGGCTTCAGGCTCTGCACACTGGGGAGCACGTCCTCCTGCTACAGTCCTGCCACCATTAGTCCTCTGCCTTCTTACGAGATCCAATTCCCACAGTTGCACTGAAACTGAAAATAGTTGTGGGAAAGTCCTCTGAACTCTTTCTGACATTTGTGGTGTATTACTACATAATTTGGCCATGAATTTCATTTGACCATAATTGTCCCATACAATTTGGATTATAAGCGTCCTGAAGTTAAAGATTGTCCTTCTTCATTTCCCTCACGGTGCCCAGGACCGGTTTGAGTATACCAAGGACTTTTTCATACCAATGGACTTCTTCATACCAATAGCTTCAATGATGTTGGTAAGTCTTACCCTCGGGCTGAGTCTCTACTCGCAGAGGAAGTGATCGTTCTCCGGAACCATGTCTATTTTGTGCCACGACTCTGAAAATATACACCGTCTCTGGCATCAGGTTTTGAATGGTCACCTGCATTTCCCCTGGATGGCTGGTATTTTCAATCCGTTCACTTTAGGAAAAGAATTTAAGAAGATAAAAGGCAAGAAACACAACATCCATTGGAAATTATCTAAAATATGCAGATTCATTTTCATTATGATTGAACAAACATTAAATGTGAAGTGTCTTACACTCAAAATAACACCCAAACTTCAAATAACAGGCAGTGTTTATGAGGAGAGAAACTCAGAGCAAAATGGGGTACTGTGTCAGACAGAAATGTTTAACACATCTGCTAATCTGCTGGGAATCATTTTTACTTGGAGAGCTCAGAAGCTGCTAATACTGACACATAATCTTGATTTCCATTCTGAAAAGAACAGGAACTGTATTTGGCATTGTGGATTTTTTTTCCCTCAAAATTCTATTTTATTTCCATTTCTAAATTCTCTCCCTCTTACCCTCTGTACCCACTAAGAAAGCAGGAAAAATGAAACCCATTACAAATATGTACAGTAAAACAAAACAATTTCCCTCATTAGCCAAGTGTGTGTCTCTCTCTCTCTCTCTCTCTCTCTCTCTCTCTCTCTCTCTCTCTCTCTCACACACACACACACACACACACACACAGAGGTGTGTGTGTGTGCACGCGCATGCATGCTTTAATCTGCACACTGAGCCCATTACCTCTCTATCTGGAGGTGGAAAGCATGCTTCATCATGAGTCCTCTCCAGCTGTGGTTTAGCCCACTGTATTTCAAAGCTGTTTGTTTTTACAATCTTGTCGTTGTATAAACTGTTGTCTTGGTTCTGTGATCACTTTATTTTGCATCAATTCATAAAGACTTTCCATGTTTTTTCTTTTTCTTTTTTGTTTTTGTTTTCTGGTGAGGCAATTGGAGTTAAGTGACTTGCTCAGGGTCACACAGCTAGTGAGTGTTATGTGTCTGAGGCCGGATTTGAACTCAGGTCCTCCTGACTCCAGGGCCAGTGCTCACTGTGCCCCACTTAGTTTCCATGTTTTTCTAAAACCATCCTCTTCATCATTTCTTATAGCATAATAGCATTCCATCACATATACACATACTATTACTTGTTCAGACAACCCCCAATCGATGGGTACCCTGCCTCATTTCCCAATTCTGTGTTACCAGAAAAATAGCTGCTATAAATATTTTTGTACATATGGTCTGTTTTCCCTTTCTCTGATCACTTTGAGAGTATAGACCTGGTAGCAAGCGTTGCTGGGTAAAAGGGTTATACAGCTTAGGGGGTTTTGGGGACCAGATCCAAACTGATTTCCAGAATAGTTGGACTAGTTCACAGTTCTACCAACACTGGTTTAATGGAACTGCTTTCCCACAGCTCCACCAGCATTTGTCATTTTCCTTTTTTTATTCACCTTTGCCAATGTAATGGGTATAAAGGAGATTCCTCAAGCTGTTTTAATTTGCATTTCTCTAACTATTAGGAATTAGAGCATTTTTTCACATGGTTATAGATACCTTGGATTTCTTCTTCTGAAAACTCACTATTCCTATTCTTTGACCATTTATCAGTTGTTGTAGTTGTTGGGACTTGTTTTGGTATGCAGTGTGAAATATTTGTCTATACCTAGTTTCTACCAGATAGCTTTCCAGTTTTCCTAAGCTTCTATAGCTTACCCCATTATGGATAATGTTGGCTCTTGGTTTTAGCTAGATAATAAAGATCACAGAAAGCTCCATTTATTCCTATGTTTTCTTTGGGCTTTTATTTTTTCAAACAGAAATGGGTGTGTCTTGTCAAAAGCTCTTTCCTTATTCTTCGTCAAATAGTGAGCTCGTACCCCACTAGCTGGGATCTTTTATCAAAACACTCAGCTACTGTGCTTATTTGCTTCTGTATTGATAAAAAAAAATGTTAGGGCTGCATCATATGATTATTAATATTAATTTGTATATTCCTTTTTGTTTAAAATCCTCACTTTTTCATTTTGTGTACATAAAAACAAATATACAAACAAACAAAACCCCACCACTTCTAGGAATCTGATCATATTCCAGCCCCTCCCAAGGTCTAGTTTGGTCCTCTGTTTATCCCATAAACAGAAGCCAGACTTAACCATCTGCATTATTACAAGTCATCCTTGCTCCTGGCTTTTCCAACTAAAAGTTTGGGGTGACCTGGCTCACAAAAGAGAAACTTAACAAGGCAGATCGCTGATGGAGCAGTTTTCTCTGACCAGATTTCGAAGGGCAGCTGGAATCTCATGACCATGATTCCATTCTCAGCTTTACTCCTTCCCCTCACAGGAGGACCTGAGAACTCTTAGCCCACCTCCTCATTCAGTGCCAACAATCAGGGTTGCCTTTTGCTTGTTGGGAAGACAGATGGGGGATTTAAACTGGCTTGGGACACTTCCTTGGGGTCCTTGGTCACAAAGAGAGAGAGACCGCTGGTCTCAATTTATTGATTATTTGCTGGCCTAATTAATAAATTGATTTTTCATACCCAGAACTTTGTCTCTCGGAATTTTATATGCCACAGTTGTCTATCTAATCTACTCCACTTATCAATCTCTATTTCTCACACGGTATGAAATTGTTTTAATGATTGTGGATTTGTAATATATTTTTAGATCAAGTACTGCTAGGTCCCCTTCCTTTCCACATTTTTCCCCCTTGATATTCTTGACCTCTTAGTCCTCCATATAAATGAAATTATTTTTCTAGCACTCTAAAGTAATCATTTTGTCGTTTGATTGTTATAGGATTGAATAAGTAAATTAATTTAGGCATTACTGCACTTTTATTACATTGACTTGGCCTGCCTACGAGCAATTCATATTTTTCAATTATTTAGATTTCTTTGTGTAAAGCATAGTTTATAATTGTGTACATGTAGCTTTTGTGTGTATCCTAACAGATAAGGTTACAAAGTATTTTTTTAAAGTTACTTGAAATGGAATTTATTTCTGTATCTTCCTGCTTGATCTTGTTGGCGATATACAGAAATACTGATGATTTGTGTGGATTTATTTTCTATCCTGAAATTTTGTTGAAGTTAACTGTTTCAATTTTTTTTAGTTAATTTTATAGGGTTCTCTAAGTAAACCATCATATATAGTGCGCAAAAATTGATAATTTTGTTTCTACTTTGCATATATATTTTCCTTCCATTTCTTTTTCATGCCTTATTGCTATAGTTTGCATTTCTTGCACTAAATTGAAGAGTAATGGCAACAATGGACATCCTTGTTTTACTCCTAATTCTATTGGAAAGACCTCTATAGCTTACGCCATTACAGATAATGGTGGATATTGGTTTTAGATAGATAATAAAGAACATTTAAAGAGAGCTCCACTTATTCTTATGTTTTCTAGTGTTTTGTTGTTGTTTTTTTTTTAACAGAGATGGGTGTGTCTGGTCAAAAGCTTTTTCTGCATCTATTGATAAAATGATATAATTTTTGTTATTAATATGGTCAATTATATTTATAATTTTCCTACTATTGAACCAGCCCTGCATTCCTGGTATAAATCCAGCCTGATCATAGTGTATAATGTGTATGATATGTTGCTATAATCTCTTTGCTTTTTTATTTAAAAGGCACTATTTTTCTAAGCTTGTGCCTCTTACTAATTTTTGGAAGGATTTCATTAGCCACAAAGGGTACCATGAGTTCTAGTCCAATTTCCATCTAGCAGATACAAGATTCTGGTGAACAACTACAATAGACTGAACCATGTATATTCTCAATCTGTTAGCTAGAAAGCTAAACATATGTGGCAAAAAAGATCAGCTAACTACACCGCTACAAAGCAATTTTGGCCAATTTAAAAAGGCCAGTTAAACGAGAGCATTTTGAAAAGGCCTAACAAACTCTATCCAGTAGATATCTTGAAGTCAATTCGTGCTGCTGGATTTAAATGAGAAAAGAACAAAACAAACAGACAAACTAAATTAGGGATTACTTTGAAAAGAAAAAGTTTCCAGAGTATTTCCTGGGCTTGGCATACATTCCGCCTAATATCCTAAACTGGGCACTGACGAGCCAACAAAGAACACATGCTGTGGGAGTCCTTCTTGTAAATGACCCCTTCCTTCTCCTGGATGGATGCCAACTTCCCTCCAACCCTCCCCCACGGCCCATCTCCACTACATCAGGAAGGAACTCAGAGATCCCCAAGACGCTCTGACCCTTAGGTCCATTTCTCCCTTTCCAATGGTAAGCACTTAAAAGCCTGTTTGCTCGTTCATTCGTTTGTTCATTCATTCATTCATTGGTTCATTTTCTACATGTATACCTCTACTTCCATGAGAAAGGAGTCAATGAAAGTGCAAAGTCCATAAGTGTTCATTAAGCACCTACTACATTCATACCACTGCACTAGACAATGGGGAAGCAAAGATAGAAAATGAGAGTAGGGAGATGAGGCATATATACAAATAATTATTATTTAAATTAGAAAATAAATTAAGTGCAAAAGCATCATAGTGGCATTTGATTTTGAAGGAGGAGAAAGATGTCCATACATGGAGATAGATTTCAAGCAAGGTAGCCAAGGCACAGAGGCGAGAAGGAGGAACACAAGGCTGAGATACATTGAAATAGATAGTGCAGCACACAGAATGCTGAAAAGGAATATGGGATTCAGTAAGGCTGGAAAGGCAGGTTGGAGCTGGTTACTGAGGCCTTTGAATAGAAAGTTGAGAAGTCTGTACTTTATTTGGTAGCCAATGAGAACCCACTCCGGATTTCTGAGCAGGAAGAATGACATGATTAGACTTAAGTGTTAAGAAAGTGACTTTGGCAGGGGTGAAAAAGCTCAGATGAGACCTGATTTGATCTAGGATATTTCTGTCCTCTAGAGAGGAGAGGCTGGAGGCAGTAGCCTCAGTTCAGACAACAAGTAACGAGAGTCTGAACTACAGTAGCGGCAGTGGGAGCTGAAAGGAGAGGAAAGATACGATATATTTTGGAGGGAGAATAAGTAGAATAAAGCAACTGAAAGCAACTGATTGAATACTGGGTGAGGAAGAGGGAAGGATTAAGAACGAATGATGTGGAGGCCTAGGTCTCCAGCC